CTCGTGCAACCCCCTGCTTCCTCTTCTGGGAAGGGTTTTACACTGTTCCCTAAGAATATACACCCCCTCCGCCAGTCGACCTGCGGCCAACCAGGAACCATGCTCGCCCCCCCCACCATCCCTTTCAAAAAACAATACAAGATGCTCTCTGCCTCCAAATTCGGAGCATGCGCAACCAACCCGATGCGGCCCCCCTCACCATCCCTGACAAAAACAATTCGAAGCACATGTTGGGGCAAAATCTGGAGTCAAGTTCGTGAGGCCCGCGAGCACTCCGTATTGTTTTTCGACAGTGACGGCGGGGGCGTCAGCATATTGTCTGCTGCGCGCAGGGCTACCATCCCTGACAAAACACAATACAAAATGCACCTCGCGGCTAAATCTGGATCGTGCGCGGCCACCCCGCAATCATTGTCAAGTGGTTCTTGACCGGGACGGCGGGGGTGGTGGCGTATGGCCTGCGGTGCGCAGGAACAACAGAGACAATGATGGGCATTGGTGTTCGATCAGGATGGAGGGGGCCGACATGTTTCCCGATGTGTGCTGCCACGTGCGCAGGCGCACCTGACACACGCTGCACGTGCCCCGAATGTGGCACCTGGCGCGGCTGGAGTATGCGGCACACCCGGCGCACGCGGAGGCACGTGGCGCATCTGGCGCACCAGGCGTGCCTGGCACGCTCGGGCCCCAGGGGTACCTGGCGCGCGTGGCGCGCCGGGCACTCGTGGCGCACCTCGCCCCAGCGTCGCGCACATGGGCTCGGTGTTGGTTCCCAGTAGCTGTCCATCCAAAGACGACCGCTGAGCATGCTGAGGCTTGGTTGTTACGTATGTGTTGGGAGGGCGGGTGGAAGTGCGCCAGACGGCTTGCAATATGGAGTGGTCTTGACCCCTCCCCCTACCCCTCCCCTGTACCTGGAGGGGTGGGGTCGAGGGTCGTTGGAGCGTCCAAGCTGGCCCAATATGGCTCTAGGAGGGCCTCAGAGAGCCCAAGATCACTTCCAAGATGGCCCAAGATGGCTCCCAAGATGCTCCAAGAAGCCCTAAGACCGCTCCAAGACGGCTCCGAAGGTGGGCACGGAGCCTCCCCAGGAGGCCGCCAAGAGGCCAAAATCCGTCAACAAACACCTAAGGAAAATCAATGAGTGTTGCCTTTTCGCCTTTTCGACTCCGATGGCCTTCCGAGGTCTCAAGACAGCTCCAAGAGGGCCCCTGAGGGCCGCAAGAGAGCCCAAGAGAGCCCCAAGACGGACCCAAGAGCGACCAAGAGCGTTCAAAGTGCGCCCCAAGAGGGGCCCAAGAGGCGATTCTTGGGGCTCCCGAGGGGGAGTCGTAACTAGAGCTCCCATATTGGTTGATCGATCTCCTCCAAGATGGCCCCAGGAATGCTCGCAAGGCCCCCAAGAGCGCCTCAGGAGGGCCCCTAGAGGCGCCCAAGAGGCCTTCAAGGGGCTCCCAAGACACCCCCAAGGGGCCCCAAGAGGCTCCCCGAGGCACCCAAGAGCACTCCAAGAGGGACCCTTCCGCTGTGTGCTGCCACACTTCCCTGATCGGAGCAACTCTGGGCATTGTCTCTGGATGGGCTGGTGGGGTTACTTTGTTCGCGAGAGCAAATTGAAGGGCCGCGCGCTGGTGGGGTTACTTTTTTTTATTTTTATTGTTTTACAGCCGCGGGCGGAAGCGCCAGCGGCGGAGGGTAACGGTCGGGCTGCGGCCGCTACGAATTGGCCGGGACGCGCGCGTGCCGCGGCCGGCGCCGGGCGGCGGGTGCAAGGGTGCTGCTGCCCAGGGAGTCTGAAGGCGAAACCAGCACGCAGGGAGAAGTAATTACGCTGCCAAAATGGCGCGATGCAAGACCCCCACCGTATCAGAGGCCACAGTACTGGTGCTCTCTGAGATACTAACTGAACAATGGAAGTCTCCAACCTCGACGGGAATGGAGTGCGCGGGGACCCAGGGGGTCTGCCATGCACAAGCATCCGAAAGACACACGAGCAGTCGTCAGTCGGGCTGGTGGGGTTACGCGAAGCGTCAATAATAGAGGAGGAGGAAGAGGAGGAGGACTATGAGGAGGAGGAGAAGCAGGAGGGGCGGAGTTTGTTCCCCCCCAAGAGAAGCAGGGGGGGGAACTTCACAACTAAATATATCCCTCGATTACTGATTTGCTCCTCCCTGTCAGCACTCTCGCCCCCTGTCCCCTCCGTTCTTGAGGAAAGCCGCCTGGCTCTTGGCCACCTCCGCCTCCTTTTCTTACCTCCTCCGACAGAGCGGACCTGCGCCGGGAGCCACTCCGGACATACGCCTACCGAGCACCCCCTCGCGCGCGCGCGGGCGAGGTGCCCCGCTCGCGCCCCGCGCAACCCACGCGTCAAGGATTGTGTAGAGCTGGGAAGCGGCTGAAAGGAAGCGGACGCCTTGGGGAAACGGGATCCTTCTCCTCCTCCTTCTCCTCCTCCTCGTCCTCGTCCTCCTCCTCCTCACCCTCCTTTTCCTCCTTCTCCTCCTCCTCCTCCTCCCCCTCCTCCTCCTCCCCCTCTTCCTCCCCCTCCTCCTCCTCCTCCTCCCCCTCCTCCTCCTCCTCCTCTTCCTCCTCCTCCTCCTGGGCAAACGAACGCCCTGGACCTCCCAGGAAGCCCCTCTCGAGGACCCGCAGAGACGCCCAGCATCTCCTCTCGATCCCAGACCCCCGATGTCCAGTGCACCCGGTGGTGGCTTCCCATTGAGAAGGGACCGACCGTCCCGGCATCCCTATAGGCCTACCACGATATGTTTTCAGAACCCACAAATGTTCTAATGACAAAAGCAATGTCCTTAGAACATAAGCCCGATGTGGCAGAACAAGACAGTCCCAGCCAGACATGTTCTAAGAACGCTTCGTGGAGACCACAGCAGGTTCTTAGAACATTGTTTGGTAGGCCTATAGAAAGCTAGGACGCTTCGCCATTGCTTGACCGCAACGTGACGGGTGGGACCGGCTCAGGGGGGGGGGACAAGGTTCTTGAATCGGCGATTACATCGCTGACGGATTGGCGATAGGGCCCTGGTAGCGAATGCTCGCGCTCCTGGGCGGGGTGGGCTGTCGGGCCCATGTCGGCGACGAGTCGGCAATCGGGGGTCGATGCTTCCCCCCCTGGCTGTCGGGCCATAGCTCGGCTCTCTGATGGCCGTTCGGGACGATCCCGGCCCCCTGGAATGCCCTCGGCGAGGCGCAGCCGCTGAAGGCACCCTGAGGCTGGAAAGCCGCCGAGAACCAACGAAAATACCCGAAACCTCAAACCTCGATACATCGCCCCCCCTAAGCGCAGCCCCACCCTGTCGCTGCCCTTGATGCCGGCGCCCCAAGCACGGCCAGGACCGACAGCCCCACAAGGGCACGCACAACCGGCTTGGCCGCAGCGTCGTAGCGCGCACGCGGCCTGGAAGCCGATGGGACGCCACCCTGGCGCCGCCAACACTGCCCCCGAGTGGCGCTGCCCGACTCTCGCACACACGCACACACGCACACACACACACACACGACGCCGCGTCGAGACGGGGCACTGGCGCAGAAAGCCTACGTACGAACTCGCAGAGGCAGAAAAGCAGCTACCGAAACAACGCTTCCGCCATGCAGGGGAAAAGGTGCGCAATCACCAGAAGCCGGCGGAGATCGAGGGGGGAAATGAGACTGAGAAGGCCTTCTCAGAAGGCGTCGACATTTTTCAAAAGCCGTCGCGCCTTCTGATATCCGAGCCGTCTGAGAAGGCCCGCCCCTTCTCACTTCCCTCCCAGGCTCGCCGCAGAAGAAGTCTTTTTACTGGTGACCCAGCCTCTGTAGAGACTTCCCAATGGGCACGGAATGGATAAGGTCGGAGGATCGCGCCGCATCTCTGATGCACCGCCGATGCATCGGCGACGTCGGCGTGAAGAACATCGGGCTCCGCTTCGAGCCGCACCGCCGCTGCGTCGGCGACGCGGCGCCCCCATGTACGGCTGGCGTCGCGAAGATCATGTGCAACACCCTCCTCCTCCTCCTCCTCCTCCTCCTCCTCCTCCTCCTCCTCCTCCTCAAAGCACGCCATCCCCCAAAAGGGAAGCTTCGAACGTGCGCGTGCACGCTGCGCGCGGGAGCCTCCCGTGCACGCTGCCCCCCTGCCGGGGCTTCTCCGCTGCACGCCGTGCCCCAAGGGCGGGGCGCAGGCGTGCCGTCGGCAGGCCGGCGGCGCCACGTCGCGAGAGATGCCTGCGAACGATCGAAACGTTGCCGAAACGTCCGATCGTCCGGCCTCGACCGACTTCGGGGACGGACAGACCTCCCTTTGGCAAAACGTGGCTTAGTGAGAACGACCTGGGGCCCAAACCCGGCGGGCGCGAGCCTGGGAACTAGCGGCCACGGCGCCACCTCGAGAGCCGAACACGGACAATGCACTGATCGACGTGTCACTGGTGGGGGCTCTGTCCACCCCCGACCGATTCTGGGTCGCCGGAGGCGTTCCACGTGGGGGGGTCAGAAAAGGTCCCCTTTCGTGCCCCTTTCGGGCCCCTCCAGAGCCCCAGGGGGCTCGTTTAGGTACCGTTTGGGGTACCTTTTCGGACCACGCTCGCCACCCCCCCCTTTGTGACCCCCCCATTATGCGGCGCCCAACGACCGATTCTGGGTCGCCCGCCGGAGGCATTCCACGTGGAACGCCCGCGGCGGGGCCGCCGTCGGTCGACACGCCGCGAACCTGCCCGCGCTCCGACCACGGCCGGGAGGCCCACGAGCCTGCCTTCTCTTAAGACTCTGGCAAGGTTACTCTTGCACGGACGGGGGGGGGGGGGGCTTGAGCCGGAAGTAAGCCGCCAACGGCTTGCGCGTGCAGAAGCCACGCAAGTCGAAAGGCTCTTGCACGCCAATATATATATATATATATATATATATATTCGTCTGGGGAGGAACGACGGGAGGGTGTGCGAGTTCCATGCGAGGTAACTTACCGGAGTCGAGCAACAACAAGCTCTAGACCCTCGGGCGCCCCTGGCGAAAGGAGGGGGTCCTCCGGGGCGCCCGTCTGGAGGAGCGCGGCGGCATCCGGCGACCCCGCCGCGGCGGGCAGCACCTTCGACCACCGCACGCGGCCTCGGCGGAGGCAGAGGGCAGGACGGAGAGCAGGAGGCCCAGGGGGGGAGGCCCAATGGCCTGCTCCGCCCCCCCTGCTCCTCCCCCTGGTCCCCCTCCTTCCCTTCTCCACTCCTCTCCACCTCCCCCACCTCCCCCCCCCTCCGCCACCGTCTCCTCTCCTCCGCCATCTCCCCTTCCCTCCTCCTCGACCTCCTCCCTTTCCCGTCGTCCATCTCGCCTCCCCCCTCCCCCCCGTCCTCCGGGGAGACGACGACGAGGACGAGGACGAGGACGAGGACGCCGAACCCGAACGACGCCGACGCCGACGCCGACGCCGAAGCCGGCGCCGACGCCGCCGCCGCCACCGACGACGACGACGACCACCACCACCACCACCACCACCACCACCACCACCACCACCACAACGACGATTGGCGGCGCGCACAGGGGGGTGACGCGAGGGGGGTGGTCGCGCCCTCTGAGAAGGCGGGGGGGCTCTGCGAAGGTGGGAGCCTCCTTAGGACCTGGAGGCTTCTGATAAGCTGATAAGGCTTACCAGGAGCTCTCATACGGCTTCCAAGAAGGCCCATGCCTTCTCACTGGGCACCTCCACGCATTCTGAGAAGGCGACCCACTCGCGCCACTTCCTTATGCGCGCCGCCGAAGCGAGGGGTTGAGGGGCCTGGCCAGTCCGACGACTGATGCTGGGCACCAAGGCACGGCGCCGATTGTCCTGTTGTTATCCACCGCGCGCCTCAGAACATCTGCTCCTGGCGTCGGCCTCCGTGGGTCGCTCTCGGGCATCAGCACAATCAAGAATGATCCGAGACAAGAAACCACTGCCAAGGAGGGACGACATGACCAGCGGCCAGGTATGGAAGATTACACGGCGGGGGACTGGAAAAGAAACATGATTCGTTCCATCCCGGCAGGCGTCTATCCAGGATCGCTGCGCTGATCCCTGTTCCATGCAGGCGACTCTTCGCGCCGAGCTCAAGTGCAGGGGGAACGTGCCCATGCAGCTAGAAAAACGGGTGTGGGAAACTCGCAGGGAAGCGGGGCCACTTGGGCTCAAGATCAATCCCAGGCACGCCCCTGACCAGAGGTCGACCTCCGCCTGGTCATGGCCACGAGGGCCCTGGGGTGACCCCAAACATATGCAAAACTGTGATTCATGTCAACACGTTGTTCCTCCTGCACCTCCTCGTCCCCCTCCTCCTCCTGCCCCCCAGTCCTTCCTCTTCCCCTGAGCTGAGTCGAATCTCGAAATCGAATGGGATCGGAAACGGATCGAATTGCCAGCGAACCGTCCCGAACCAAATCGAAATCGTCTAGCCGCGCACGGCTCCCGCTAGCCTCGGCCGATGCCATTGAACCGGACCGGATCAGCTCGTATCGGGATCGCGGCCCCATCCCGTGAATCGAGTCGTGCCGTGTCAGATCGTAGTCGGCCAGCCCTGCCGTTCAAGGAAAAAACTGTGCAACAAGCGTCGAATAACCATTTCGCGTGACCCCCATGCAACCCCTGGCCCTAATATTGAACAGACGTCCCTGGAGAAACGGGGCCTGAAAAAGCTTGAACACTGCGTCTTGTATGTAATACTTGCCTAGCTATAAGACCACCCTTCGGGTGATGAGGATGTGGGTAGGTGAGGGGGAAAGAACCAACTGCTGGCAAATGCGATGGGTGTGATGATGACGATGCTGATGACGCGCCCTCGAGTTAGCGACGACGCGTGATGACGATCTTGCGCTGCGATGTTAAGTCATTAGCGTCCCCGCTTTCGATCTCACTCGATCGGTCCCACAATCGACCTCACAGGATCGATCACACTCGATCGATCTCACTATGGATCTCACTATCGATCTCATCATCTATAGCATCACTACAGATATCGTTTCAATAATATGATCGATCTCACTGCCGATCTTACAATCGATATATCTGCCGAACTATCTATCGATCTCACGGTCGATCTCACGACCAATGTCACAATCAACCTCACTGTCGATCTCACTATCAATCCCACCAGCCCTCTGGGCGTAGGTGGTCTAGAGCAGATCCTCTTCCACCCCTCCCTCTTCCCCCTTGGGGAGGGTTTACCCCTCCCCCTACCCCCTCCCCTGGACCTGGACGGAGGGTTCCGCGAGCGGTCGGACGGCTCTTTTGGCCCCAAGATGGCTCCAAGAGCGCCTCAGCGAGCCCAAGATGAGCCCCAAGATGGCTCAAGATAGCGCAAGATCGCGCGGGATGGCTCCCAAGATGGTTCCAAGAGGCCCAAAGACGGCCCCAAGACGGCTCCAAGTGGCCAAAGAGCTCCCCAAGGAGGCCCCGAAGAGGCCAAAATCGTCCCAAAACCTAAGGAAAAAACATGTGTTTGCTTTCTCGCATTTTCGCTTCCGATGGGCATCCGAGGCCTCAATATGGCTCCAAGATGGCCCAAAAGGGCCCCACGAGAGGCCCAAGAGAGCCCCAAGACGGCCCCAAAAGCGTCCAAGAGCGCTCCAAGAGGGGCCCAAGAGGCGATGTATGGGGCTCCCGAGGGGGGAGGCTAATTGGAGCTCCCCTCTTGTTTGATCGACTCCCTCCAAGATGGCCCCAAGAACGCCCCGAAGGCTCCCTAGAGCGCCTCAAGTCCCAAGAGGCGCCCAAGATGCCTAAAGGCGCCCAAAAAGCCCTCCAAGAGGCTCTCAAAAGACTCCCAATAAGCCTCAAGAGGATTTCCGAAAAGGCATTCAAGACGCTTCTGGCTCTTCGGTTCGCCGTCCTCTTCCTCTTCCTCTTCCTCAACCACCTCTTCCTCTTCCTCCCTCCTCCTCCTCCTCCCCCTCCTCCTCCTTCTCCTCCTTCTCCTCCTTCTCCTCCCTCTGCTCCTTCTCCTCCTTCTTGTCCTCCTCGTCCTCGCCCTACTCCATATCCTCCTCATTCTCCTCCTCCTCCTCCTCTTCCTCCTCCTCATCCGACGACGACGACGATTCCTCTTCCATCCTCCCCCTCTCGGGGTCTGTGACAGCTTCCCCCGCCCTTTGTTATTCTGCATGCTCCCCGATTTCCCTGATCACCTCAACTCCCCTGAGCATCGTTTCTGGATGGGCTGGTGGGGATACGCGAAGCGTCAACAATTCCTTTCTGGTGATCTTATGATCGATCTCACTATCGACGTCACTATCGAAACCAAGGCGGGGCACCCCTGGCCACCGCCCGCCCATCGCCGACGGAACCCCGACGGGACACCAACGGGAATCCAACGGGACACCACCCGACACCACAGAGGAACGCCTGGGGCCACCGCGCGCCCACCGGTGGCGGAGGAGCGGTGCACTGCATCCAAATCGCCCTGGCGACGGCAGGGTCATTCTTCTCCCGCGCCCACGTAGCTTCGACTCGCCCGCAAGCACGAACACGAACACGAAACCGAAACGGATTTCCCGGTGGGGGGCTCACCACCCCAACCTCCGACAATACGGACGGGGGGGGGAAGGGGGGGAATGAGGTTACGTCTATAGAGGGTACACAGTCCACCCCGTTGATGCCCACCACGACGCGCGAGGCCGTTTAGAAAACGAACCCACAGAAGGAATCAATCAGGGCAGGGCTGCTGAGTAAAAGCCCAGAGCCGTTTAGTAAACTCCACTTGTCGGATTCGGTTGTTTTTTCCTCCCTTGATTCTAGCTTGGTCGTTGCTGTGGTCAAGCTTTCCTTCAACACCTCCTCCGTCCAGTGCGGGCGGCTACGGGGCGCGGCAGTACTTGCCGAACCTCTCGGCCAGCAGCTCGTTGGTGATGTCGAGCGGCAGGCCCCCAACCCAGACCTCGGCGGCAGCTCGAGTTGCACGTGAGGGGGGAGTTCGGCCGCGGGTCGGTGTCCTACTGCTCCGCTGCGCACCAAGCAGTGTGCATGATCCGCTGACCCCCTCCTGCTCCTATCCTTGTCTTAGACATGACATGGAGGCGACGCCCTGAAGCGTCAGTCTCCTCCTCCTTCTCCTCCTCCTCCTCCTCCTCCTCCTCCCCGCACTCCCCACGGCGGCTTCGGTGCAGATGCACACGACAGGGGCCGGTACCTCGAAGGATGAAGTTGTTTCGACGAGTTTGCAAGTTTTGGGTCGAGGGCCCTGGAGGCCTCGCAGGACCCACGGGAGGTCGGGGGGAAAGATTTCCTCCGAGCGCCTCGAGGCGTCAAAGTGCCCGTGCATCATGGAAGTGACCTGGCGCTGGGCTTGAGACCAGCTCCTCTGCGTGCTGCTGCTGTTGCTGGCGGTGGTCCGCATCTCATCCCGCCTCCCTCGAGCTCCGCCCCGGCCTCTGCGTCCGCCTCCTCCGGTCTCCCCATCCCCCCGCTCTCCCGCCTCCGTCGCAGTGCAGGTGTCCCTCGACAGCAGCAGCACTACAGTCGACCCGTATAGTAAGGATGCGCGACAAGGCTGAACCGAAACGGTGTTTTTCGTTTTCGCTTTGTTTTCGCTTTTCCCTCGTTTTGTTTTCAGTCCACCTCTACCGCAAAACGAAGTCGAACCGGAAACGGCACACGAAATCGCCAAAACACAATTTAGGTCCAGCCCTGATGCGCGATAAGGATGCAAAGGGCCTTGAAAGGCCATGTCGACACTCTGCGAGCGGGGCGCTGTCAGCGAGAGCGGCCAAGGATGGGGCGGGGAGGCAAGGATGCAAGGGTACCCTCGGGAAGGTTGCCCATCCTTACTGTGCGAGTTGACTGTATGGACATGGATACGGAGAGACGCCAATTATCAGACGGAGGGGGGGAAGCGGGAACTAGTGCAAATAAACCCCGTCAGCCCGTTGCGCGCGTGCGTTTTCGCGCACCCCCTCTTCAACGGCAGCCCCCCTCGTCTCCCCCAAGGGCTCCACAGGCAAATATGATGCGCAATCACGTTCTGCGCCCTGTGCCACACTTGCTGCCAGCGATGCTCATGTTCTGCATTCTTCCCACGTGTCGACAATACTGATGCCATTATCAGAAGCGTGTGTTCGGCAACGTAAGCACCGATTATTGTGTGAACCCGCGTACTTCCTCGTTCTTGAATACCAGTGCAGTAAGGCAAACATCAGCAACATGTACAGTTGGAAGGAGTTTCAGAAACTGTTCACCAACCAGTATAAGGCTTGATTGCGAAGCTTCGCGATGACTGGCACACGTTGCAAATGACACTGCTGGAGCTAACCAATGGAAGTCAATCTTGAACGCGCGACCGATGGCGTGAAATCGAGACATGGTGTTCTCGGTCCTCGCAGTGAATGGCAGCACATGAAGGTCGACACCAACACCGATGCACATGGCCCACCATCTTGATGCTGGAACTGGAAACGAGTAATCCTCATGTTGCCACGTATGATCGCAACATGTGTCATCACCTGTAACGACAAACCTTGCATAGACAGCAGGACGGCGTTCGTACTAACTGCATGCACGCCGAACTGAATCACCAAATCGCCCGCGTGCATGCACAAGAATTTCGAGCACATGTGGCTGACAGGTTGCTACAAACACTTTCTCCGCACCTGACGCTTAAATCGACAACCACATCAGATTTTAGTATACGGCATTGCGTAAACTGCGGGCGAACATAATGAGCAACAGGAAAACACAGCGGAGACTGTAACATACTCACAGCCATGGCTCAGACTCAACATACTGAGCGCTGATCGCGATGCATTCACGCGCAACCGAGAGTCGAATCTGCTACTGTATTTGCACACGGCGCGAAGAGATCATCAATAGATGCCAGACCTGCTCGCACGGGAGGCTCTGCAGCTCGTCACCTCGGCGAGTGTTTCTGCTGCCGACGCCGTCGCTGCCCCCTGCCTCGAGAAAGTGCTGCGTGAAGATGTTGAGGAGGTGATTTTGATCGTGCCGTCGGGGCCCCATACAACCCTTATAGAAGACATAACGGCATAAACCTAAACTTTTGGCGCTCCGCGCGTTTTCTTGGATCCGCGCTGAACCCCCTTCCCTGGTGCGCGCAGAGTGCCAGGGGCGGCGCCGGAGGCGCCGCCAGGGGGTCCCAGCGCAAATCCAAAAAATCTGCGCGGATGTCAGAAAAGTTTGTTCATGTCATGTTTTCCATAAGTCTCCTCCCCCGTCGCCGAGGGCTCCAACTCCTCCTCCTCCTCCTCCTCCTCCTCCTCCTCCTCCTCTCCTCCTCCTCCTCCTCCGCCTCCTCCGCATCCTCCTCCGTCGCCGAGGGCTCTTCCCGCTCCCCCGTCGCCGAGGGCTCCATCTCCTCCTCCTCCTCCTCCCTCCTCCTCCTCCTCCTCCTCCTCCTCCTCCTCCTCCCTCCTCCTCCTCCTCCTCCTCCTCCTCCTCCTCCTCCTCCTCCTCGTCTCCTCGTCCTCCTCTCCTCCTCTCCTCCTCCTCCTCCTCGTCCTCGTCCTCCCTCCTCCTCCTCCTCCTCCTCCTCCTCATCCTCGTCCTCGTCCTCCTCGTCTCCTCCTCCTCTTCCTCCTCCTCCTCTCCTCCTCCTCCTCCTCCTCCTCCGCCTCCTCCTCCTCCTCCTCCTCCTCCTCCTCCTCCTCCTCCTCCTCCTCCTCCTCCTCCTCCTCCTCCTCCTCCTCCCCCTCATCCTCCCCCGTCGCCGGCGCCAAACGTCCTTCAACCCTCACCCGCTCTGTCTGCGAGACCTGCCGACCCCGACGTCGCAACCACGGCCCCCCAGGGCATCTCGACCCCGCTCCCCAGGGCCGGCCTGTCTCGTCCCGAGCCGTTCTCGGTCCTGGGGTCAGGTCGGGCATGTCCTCCTACGCGCGGGTTCTCAAAGAAAAACGACAAGAGTAGAACAATGCTCACACATAGTCAAAAGTACTAGAGCAATCGTCCCCAGACTATCTTAATACTATGTTTGAAGACTCCTCCTGCAGGGGGACATGCCCATCTGAATCCTGGGGCCGAGAAGCGGCCTCCGAGAGGCAGACCACGCCCACGAGCTGGGCCCAGACATCATCTGGTGGCGAGCGGCCCCTGGAAGCGGCGGGGGGGAGGCTCCTTATGCAGTCAACCCGCACAAGAAGGACGCACGATAAGGACGCAAGGGCATTCGTGGAGGGCTACGTCGGCACGTTGCCGAGGGGCGCGGCCAGCGAAAGCGGCCAAGGAGGGACCGAAGGTTCTGTGGCAACTCGTGGGAGCCTCCCGTACCATCGTGTCGGCTCTTGCGAGGCGACGCTGAGTCGACGCTTATCGGCGCTAACCGACGCTAGATCGGCGCTACCTCATCGACTCCCAGACGCTAATCGACACTACAAACGGAATCAAAATGATATACCAGGCTCCCATGATTTGCTACCGAGGAGGGGCGCGGCCAGCGAAAGCGGCCAAGGAGGGACCGAAGGGGCACGATGCAAGGGTAACTTTGGAGACTTGCTCATCCGTACTCTGCTGGTTGACAGCAGGGATGCACAGGGCTTCCCGGAAGCAAGCCTTCTGCACCCCTCGGCCCCTCTGAGAAAAGCCCGAAACCCTGACCCGTGGCGTGAAGAGCCTCTGCCACGGCCCCTTGGAAGGCCGCCCACCCCTCGCGTCACCCCCCCCGTTGCGCGCCCCGAACCACCCTCCTCCTCCTCCTCCTCCTCCTCCTCCTCCTCCTCCTCCTCCTTCTCCTGCTCCAGCCCCCGGAGGGGTGCCTCGGTGAATGGGCGGCTCATCGGGGCCCCGGGGGAACTAAAACCCGCTCAGCCGTCCCTCGGGGCGCCGCTGTGGGTTAGGTCCGGTCGGATCCTGGGGTGTCAGGCTGTCCCGCTTGGCCGCTCGGGCCAGGAGGGGCAGCGTGGCCCTCAAGGCACGGCCTCACCTGCCGCGAAAAAACACCCGCTCGCGGGGGGTGGTGGGTGCGGAGGGACTAAACGGCTGGGGTCCTGTCCGCCCCAGCGCCAGTCTCCGCACTCGGGTCCTCCCGCACCACGAGGTGGTCGGGTGAGGTCCTTGGGCAAGGAGACCTGCGGGGGCGGGCCTGGGCTCCGCTGAGTCTCGCGCCAGGTGACCCGCCTGGCGGTCGAGGGAGTCCGAGAGTCCCGACCTGCAGTGGCAGGCGGAGGCTTGGGGTCAGCGTGAGTGTGCGGCTTGCGCGCGCAGGAGCGGCGGAGGCGCCGCTGGGGCTGCCTCTTTTTTTCCGGAGGAGTGCGCACGCAGGCACGGAGGAACCCGCAGGCGCCCCAGGGCGAACGTTTACATGCCTGACCTCTCTTCCGCCCTTCGCAGGAACTGTCTCGGTGCCAAGGCACTGAGAAGTGAGCGTTCGGGTTTGCTTTCATGTTCATCACTCTTGTGATGGCGGTAATCCTGGGAATCCTCCTCCTCCTCCTCCTCCTCCTCCTCATCCTCCTCCTCCTCCCTCTCTGTCTTCCTCAGGTCCCCGGGTCCGCCCTTCTCGCCCCTCCCCCCCCTCCCCGCCCCCTCTCCGACGATTGCCAGTATTGCTCCGGCCTGAGGCCAGAACGCCCCGTATCCGCGGGGTCACGGCTCATGGGCCTGGTTCGCGAAGCCGCGGGTGCCGTCAAACTGCTGTCACAAGGAGCGCCACGGGAGGAGCGACACCCCTCTCCAGCGCCAAGGGAGCCTGGATGCACTGGGCAGGGCCAGAGGAACACCCACGGCACGACCCAGGGAACCGCGAGTCCCCTCAGAACCCCAACCGGCTCTTGTTTCGGAGCCTGGCCTGTGCGGATCTGTTTTTCGCCCACGAGCCAGAGAACGCCCCGCTCGGGCTCGCGCAGAGGCTCGGCGGCGAGCGAGGGGGGGAAGTGGGAAGCGGCGGGCCTTCTCAGAAGGCTCGGAAGTTCTCCAGCCTGCTGAGAAATTTCGAGCCTTCCCCGAAGATGCAGAAAGCCTCTCAGAAGGAGCGAGGGCTTCTGAGAAGCCCCGCCGCCTTCTGAGAAGGCCTTCTCCTTCTCCCTTCCCCCCCCCTCGCTCGCCGCCGAATGTTAGATAAATCCATGTCGACCAAGTCGACTCCGCCTCGAACCCGCGCCGAACCCGCGCCGAATTCGCGTGACATCCGCCCCGAACCCGCCTCGAGCCTGCGCCAGGGGGGCCACGAGGCTCCATCCTGCCGAGGCCCGCGCCCACTTCGGGAGCCTCCCAGACGGGTCCGAGTAGGTGGACGTTGTCTTCGTCGGCGATTCGACATTGGGCGGAAGGGGGGGGGGGTCTGGCTGCGGGCCTCTTCTTAATGCCAGTGTCTGCAGAAGCGCGTCCTGTGGGGGAGACCCCATCTGCTCGAAACGGGCGCCAAAAACAGCCAGGACCTGCTCCCGCGCCGATCGGCAAAACAGCGAATCAAAACACGATCACTAGATGGGGTCGGGGGATCGCGCCGCATCGCCGACGGGTCGGCGACTTCGGCGATGCATCGGCGCAGTCGGCGTGGAGAAGATCGGGCTCCACATCGCGCGCCAAATCGCAAGTGCACCCGCGAGGCGCCGCGATCTGCCGACCCCTGTCTGCCTCTGGCCCCACGCGGGAGGGGGCCTGGATGCCTGCAAGAAGAGCGCGCGTGCGAGAGGATCCTCCTCCTCCTCCTCCTCCTCCTCCTCCTCCTCCTCCCTCACGCTGAAAAGAGGCGCGTGCAAGAACACGTTGAGAAGGCGGAGGCTCTCAGTGTCAAAATCGTGTTTCGAAGATTCACAGAAAACACCCTTTAGCAAACGCCCATTCAGTGGAAGCTGCCAGTGACACTCCACGTGAGCATGGCACCGTATTCCGAGTGGACCCCAGCGGGGTAGCCCGTCGACTTCCAAATTCGACCGACTGTATCCGGCGAAACGCATGACGATCAGCGAAACCGACTGAGGACTGCACCAGTACACTCGAAGGCCAATGTCGAGTGAACCAGTGTAGATTTCCTCAGTCGACTTGTCTGGGTGGGCGTACTCTCAATGCCCGAATGTCTGGCCCGCGCGCGGGCCTCCCCAGCCGCCGCTCCAGGCATCCTTGCCGCCGGACCAGCCATCCTCGCCAGCACCAAAGAGGAAGAGACTAAGAAACAACAAGAGGGGCAGGGAAGGTGGTAAGGATGCACGTTGGAGGCTGCACGTAGACCTGGGCTGAGAGAGCACGAGGGAGCCCAGCCTGTTCCCTGTCTCTGTCCTCTCGTCTGCTCTCTGCCTCCCATTCCTCGTCGGCCCCGTGCTACACTTCCCTGTCCCACCTGGCAATTTGTTTAACGTCGTATGCCGGCCGCCTCCCCCCTGCGCGTGATCCCTCTCTTCTGCATCTACTCGCACCGCACTCTGTCAGCGCGAGGCAGCCGACGCCTCGCTCTGCTGGAGCACTCCTCACAGTGTCATCTGCTGCCAGCGCGGAAGAAGCTCAGCGAAGCGTGAAGTTGGGAGACGCTGGAAATACAGATCGGGTGCCCGCCCGACCAGTTCACAGGCGCTTCCATAAGACAACGCCGATCATTACAGCGGAAGGGCAGAACACTGGACCGAGAACGCGCCCTTCGAACGAACAGCATGTGGCATGTACTCGCAGAAAGGCGGCAAGCCACAACCTCGAGCAAACCAGAAAGTACCGATGCCGCCCGCTGCTCCTCGGGCCTCTCCCGTGGCGGGTTCTGACCACAACGTGGAGGCGAATCCAGCGGTGGCCGACGAGGGCCTCCGAGGAGGGAGGAGGAGGAGGAGGAGAAGGAGGAGGAGGAGGAGGCGAACACGAGGGATGGGTATGGATATGGGTTTCTTTTCCTCCTCCGAGTGTACTCCCAGAAGGGCGGCAAGCCACGACCTGCTCGTCGCCGTTGCGACTCCTCTCCAGGAGACCCCTTGCTTGCCATCGTTCGGACGGCCATTCCCCGTGCAGTGTTCGGCGTCGTACGTTTAGCTGTTCGCCAGGCGGTCCAAGATGCTGCTCGAGCGATGCCGAGCTCTCTGAAGCCGCCACCGTCGTCCCACCTCTCGACTGACTACCTACCGAACCACCCCAACCCAACCCGAAGATCCGAATGTCGTTTCGGGTTGGGGGTGGTACGGGTTCCATGTATGTGTTCAATGTTCCCCAACACCCCCCACTGGAAAAGGAGGGCAAATTGAAGCCTTCTGGTTGGGTTGGGGTGGTTTGGTGGGCGGTGATCGACGAGCCGTCCGCTCCAGACGGGCGCCTGGGCCCCCGAGCCCTACCTACATAGATACAGTTGGACGTACACTGTACAGTACATGTATATGTACTACATAGACTACACCTACTACGTATACAATTGGCACATACATGTGTGTGTTATGAACACATGTATGGCATATACGTATCTAATCATTAACACGTAGATGAGTCTTTAACCGGAGATATAACACTCCACGCGGCAGTGCCCGATCATAGCTCGCCTGGTGCGCTGCGGTCGGATCGCGACGAGGAGCCAGCAATAATGCTAGCCAGTCCTCTGATCCTCAAGACGCCACACGGGAAGCCGTGGGCGTCTCGGAAGCAGCGCTGAAAGGACCAAGCTGAATGCGCAAGATCTACATCTGTCTGATTAGCTGAAAACAAAGTACCATGCTAATGGTGGTGGGTGCAGCGGTGCAAGCCCATGCAGGCAACACGGGCCCATGCAGGAGAAGTCCTGGCGGGTCTCAGGACGAAAAACAGCTCCCCCCTCTTGCCCGCCGCCGCGTCAAATTGGGCGAGCTGTCGCTTGACCCGAGCTGGCACTGTCCGACCCGAGGCGGCCATGGATCTTCGTTGCCTCATGAGCGAGTCGGTTCTCGGGCGCAGGTATGCCTGCGTCCCGATACCCAAAACTCTCTCCTCCTCCTCCTCCTCCTCCTCCTCCTCCTCCTCCTCCTCCTCGTACTCATCATCCTCCCTCTTCCTTCGAATGCCGCCTCCTTCTCCCCCTCCCTGCCCTACGTCGTCCCCCACCTCCCTGCTGCTCCTGCTCCTGCTCCTGCTCCTGCGCCTCCTCCTTTTCTGCCCCCTCCTCCTCTTCCGTCCACTCAGTTACCCCTCACCTCTACAGCACTCCTCACTGCTCCCCCGCCTCGTCATTCCTCCCCTATAACGCACTCTTTCTCCCCCTCGTCCCCCATCCAACTCGCTCCCCCGCCAACTCCCCCCTCCACAATTACACACAATGAATACTACTCTTCTCTCTACCCTGATGGCTTCCGGAAGATATCCGGCCCCCTCCGCGTTCTGTTTTTCTACACGCAGGATTCCCAGGAAGTGGGTTCTCGCTCGGGTGTGTATTCAAAATGTTGCTCTCGCTGAACCGCCGACCCCATTTTTGCATTCCAAATCGTGCTCCCGCTTCAGTGAGGCGTTTTCGGCCCTTCAAGTTCGGGCTCATAGAAAATGCCCCCCCCGGAAAAATCATCGGAAGTGATTACAGATTCGGTGCCGATTCGCTTCATTGTTTTGGGTCGCAGAAGCCCCCCACTTTGGGGCGTCGTCGCTACCAGGAAGTATCAAGCGGGAGCCCCTTTTCTGCTTTGAGAAGGAGATGTTGGAAGCAGAGTCAGCGGGTGCTCTCCTGCAGCCCCGCCTTGTGTGAAACTTTCGGGAAGCCCAAGGAGCTAGACATGGAGCCACGACTCCAGACCGGCCTGGATCGCTCGAAGACGATCCACTTACCCTCCAAGGAACCCGGCGCCAAGCCATGACATGCTGTGCGGTGCTGCGTTCTGCGTCGCTGTGCGATGCCATGCTTTGCGTTGCAATGCTTTGTGATGCAATGCTTCACTGCGCAATGCCACGCCGCGCTATGGCATGCTACGCTCTGCCGTACTCTTCTACGCCATGCCATGCCGTGCTCTACAATGCATCGCGTACCCTCTCGCGATCACTGCCCTGCTCGACATCCGACTGTGCGAATAGACAGGATATCTACGCCACGGTAAGGGATGGAAGGGAGGGGTAGGACGTCAGATATGACCCGAGCGCATCTAGCTTGCCTCCCTCCCCTCCCCTCCTCCCCCGCCCTCCCTCAAGGCCCGGGACGGGGGAGGGAAGAGAGAGAGAGAGAGAGAGGGAGAGACAAGGAGCAGGGGATGGTGGGGGAGAGGGACGGGGGGAGGAGCGGAGGACGCCCCCTCCGGCCCATTGGCCGCCCGAAGTGGGAACGGAACAAAATGGGCACGACGCCCGACAGCAGATGCTGTCCCGAACCGACAACGGCCGCTCTGGGGCAGGCGGCCTCCTGTCTCAAATGGACCACGTCCGCGGCGACACCGACTACGGTTCCTGCTCAAGATGGACAGGAACAGCTGTCGGTCTTCGTACCCACTCTCTCCGTACCCCTTTCTCGCCGAGCGCGCTCCACTGCTCGCAAAGTGCCTGCTCGCAAACGTCCGAAAACACACATGTCTGCTTTGATGTAATGTCTCGTAGATCCCCCCCGGCGGATCCAGGTCATTTATGAGTACGTAATCCAGATTTCGTAATAAAAGGGAGGGGGTCTGGACCCTCCAAGACAAGCCATTTCAAACCCCCCCCGTGGGAGAACCCTCCAAAACATCGTCCCCAGACCCCCCCAGGCCCTCCAAGATAGCCTGGAAGAGACCCCCCCCGAAATGAGACCCCCCTTCCTTTATTACGAAATCTGGAGTAGTCACTTTGCGAGTAGTGGAACGCGCTCGTCGACTTTCGATCGTCCCGAGTCCCTGCCCCACAGACGACGCCGCCCGCCGATCGCTGGCAGCGGCCCCGACGACGCGGGCGGCGACGACGGTGGGGCCCGGCGGCGGCGGCGCCGAGGCCGCGCGCCTTGCCGCGGCCGCCAGCGGCCTCCCGCCACCGAGCGTCGACGTCGTCGCCATCGTCGTCGCCCGTCGCCGAGGCCGCCGCCGCAGTCGCCATGACCGGCGTCGGCGTCGTCGAGCTGCTCAGAACTTGCACTGCAGGCTCTCCCCCGTGCTCGACCTCATCCTCCTGCTCCTGCTCCACCCGGGCACGCGCCTGTTGCCTCCTCCGTCGCCTCCTCCTCCCTCTCCACCTCCGCATCCTCGTCCTGCTGCTGCTGTTGCTAGTGCTGCTGCTGCTCTTCCTTCTCGTCTGGCGCTGCTTTGGCCAGGCTGCGCCTACGGCGCCTGCATGATGCACCGTGCCTGATCGACATCTTCAGGGATAGGTGCCTTGTCATTCGTCCAGCGACGGGCTAGCGATTACGTATTAATATATATATATATATGTATGACACAGTTCCTTCGATGGCACGACATCCCCGATGTCGAGCTGCTGCAGTTGCCCCTCCCCTCGTAGGGCAGCAGACGGCAGAACGCCAGAGATGTGGTGAGGACTGTGCGGTGAGCGTTGGCCCGCAGGAGGGCTGCCCCTGGAGCGCGCGCCCCTCGCAGGATCCCGACGGGCTCCTCCCGCGGCGATCGCTGCCGAGAGCCCCAACTACAAGGGCGAGGGCTGCCCTCCCCTTGGCTGCAGTTCGGGCCTCTGCGGGTGAGCTGCTGCCTCCCACGCCGACGGCCGTCACTGGCGGCTCACGGGAGCCTCCCATACCATCTTGTCGGCTCTTGCGACTCGACGCTGATCGATGCCAATCGACGCTGATCGACTCTAAATCGACGCTAGTCGACGCTGACTCGGCGCTACCTCATTGACTCCCAGACGCTCATCGACGTAGTCGACGCTAGAGGTGGAATTCAGAGGGTACAACAGGCTCCCATGATTTGCTACAGAATGAGCTGCTGCCTCCAACGCCGACAGCCTGCGCAGCCAGGACCAAGGGGGGGGTTCGACCCGAGCGGCCGTGGTGATGGGAGTCGGGTGTCGGCTGGGCGGGGAGCGGTCGCCAGTGCCTGAATGTCTGGTGGCAACGGGAGCCTCCCACACCATCTTGTCGGCTCTTGCGAATCGACACTGATCGACGCTAGTCGACGCTAATCGACGCTAACTCAATGCTACATCGACGCTACAAGCTTCCATGATTTGCTACCGAATGCGTGAACATCGTTTGACCGATCCCCATCTTCATTGCCGCTGCCTAGGCCCCCCTGCCCGATCTCCCCCCCTGAATGGGGATACAGGCTGTTCTCTCCAGGCTTCGAGGGATGTTTCCCCGACTGGGGTGGTGGGATGGTGGGGCTCGAGATGGGCATGGGGATATGGATCGGTTACACGATACTGACTGGGAGCTGGGCCCCGAATGCCGGATGCGTGCCGACCCGGTCTGGCCCAGGCCACTCCCGCGGGGCGCAGCGGGGCAGGCGCAGTCTGTTCCCGTGCGGTTCGTAGGGAGCCGAACTCGGAGACCACCTGTGATGAGGGCTGCATCGGCGGGAGGCCAGACGGCAGTTTCTCCGCAGGAGTCCATTGCGTGCTCTCTTCGGTTCTGTTCCTCCTGCTCTCCCTCTCCCTCTCGGTTTCTGTTCCTCACGCCTGCGCCGCCCATCGTCGTCCTCGCCGACGAGATCCTCCGCATCCTCCATATCCTCATCATCGCGAGTAGGCATTCCCCTCAAACTCGCCGTCGTCGTCTCCCGCACGTCCTCGTTGTGTGTCAAATTATTATTCCTCCTCATCCTACACTTCCTCAGACTTCTCACCATTCACCCCACCATTGGATCCATTTGATACCGAACCCGAAATGTCATCCGCCTGTCTACGGCTCTTTTCTCAGAAGCGCTGCTTTTGTTACCAGATGTGGCATGCACTTGCCAATTCGAGGCGCGCAGCTGGTGCACGGATGCAGCACATATGAGTCGGCTGGGGGCTACCAACTGGCAGCCGAATGCAAGGACGCATCCCCGTCCCAGCGGGCAGGGCGCGCGTCAGATCATTCGGCCAAGCGTCGGGCATCAACAGCCAGCGTGCGCAGGGCCTCCCACCCCCGTGGGGGGGGTCTCGGCGAAAGTCGCGCAGAGGGAAGCCCCAGGACGATCCCAGATCGGATCCAGGATCGACTGGGAGGATCGAGGGCCAGGATCGAGGGCCAGGACCGAGGGCCATGATCGAGGGCCAGGATGGGGGGGCGAGCTCCCTCGACGAAGGGACCTGCGTCCTGGCAGGGGTGCAGCACACGATGCAGCACGACCGCCGCTGGACCCCTCATCAGGTCCGTGCGCTCTCTCTCTCTCTCTCTCTCTCGGCGGCGCGTCTGGGGCACGCTAGGCAGCGCCGCTCGGAACGGCAGCCTGTGAAGGGGGGGAGGGCGCAGCAGGAGGGGGAAGAGGGGGGGGAGAGAGGGGGAGAGAGGGGGGAGGGAGCAGCAGGAGGGGGGAGAGAGGGGGAGAGAGGGGGGAGGGAGCAGCAGGAGCAGCAGGCGGGGGGAGGAACGGGGCCCGATTCCTCACACATCGTTTCGGGTAGGCGCTGGACCGCCCCGGCGGCGTCCCTGGCGCCAGGGAGGGTCTGGCGCCGATCCGAGAAATCCGTGGTCCCCTCTGGGAGTTGATGCCCGTGCCTGCTTGTTCCTTCCCGATGAGGTTTTGCCTCCAGGACTCGTACTTGCTTATGGACACCAGTGGGTGCGAGGCCCTTTGCCAGGGGCAGCCCACGGCGTTGCTTCGGGTTCCTCGGCGTTGCTCGGGGCTCCTTGGCACAGAGCCGGGCAGTGCCAAACACGGTCAATCCGCACCAGTAAAGACTAAGCAACTGTTCCAAGCATGGACAAGCAATGCAAAACCAATGCGAAGCAACCACAAGCAATGCCAGGAACAGCCAATCAACACCACGCCATCCCAAGCAATGCCAAGCAATCGCGTGCAAAGCCAAGCAAGGCCACGAAATGTGCTGCGTTGGACTGCTCAGAACTGCTTTGTATAATCTTGGGCGAACGGAAGCCCGAATTGGAATCGCGCCAAGTTCTTTCGATCATCCGCCACCCCCCTTCGTGTTCACCTCCTTTGCCATTCCTCCTGCTATCCCTTCCCCTCACCCTTCGGCCATGGCAACTGCCGCTGTTGCCGTCACCCGAGCGAGTTGCCCTGAAGAGACGGTAGCGGCGGCAGTGGCAGCGCCGAAACGCGACCAGGGTCCAGAAAGGCATGAAGGTGCAACCACGACTTGTCTGGCTGATACTTGTGCAGGCTGCATCACCGCTCAACGATGTGCTGTCAACCATACCTGCAAGGTGGACCCTTTCAATTCTCCTGTGGTCTCAAACTTTGGCTTCGGCTTCAACTGAGGGTGCACCGTGAACCACCTTCGGGCTAGCTCACCCGAGTCGGTTTCTTCCGATCACATGGTTGTCACCCCCCCCACTCTCCTCCTCTTTCGACATTGCCCCCACAACATGCCCCCGGCGCGTCTCGAACTGGAACTTCGAGGCGAGTCCGGCCGTGGCGACGAGGGCCGAGCCAGAGGGCCCCCACAAGCGAAACCGACTCCGAAATCCATCCTCTGGCATCTGGCATCTGTCACTTGGTGGCCCGAAACTTCGTTAGAACGTAGCCTCCCCCTCCTCCTCCTCCTCTTCCTCCTGCCCCAGGCGGGAGTCTGGCACCTCTTCTGTTTCTCACGGTGTCACTGCAACGCTCGCCACTACTCACCCAGTGCCAGCACCGCCCCTGGATGCGCGTGCTCGTCGGCTGCGAACCCATGCTGAACCTGCTTCCCATGGGCATGTGGCTGAATGAAAACCGTCAGCAAGCGAACCATGACAGCGCAGCCCCCGAAGTGTTGGGTGAACCATGGCTGTAGGGGACCGTCGGCTGGGCAGCGAGTCGCCTGCTCCTAGCCCTCCTCCTCCTCCTCCTCCTCCAGCTCCTCCAGCTCCTCCAGCTCCTCCAGCTCCTCCTCCTCCTCCTCCTCCTCCTCCTCCTCCTCCCCCTCCTCCTCCTCCTCCCCCTCATCCTACATTCCTGTCCCTTATACATAACTTGTCCCTGTCACAGCCTGAGGCCAGCTTTTTGGGCGGGCCGGGCGTTTCGCCTGAGACTTCCTCACCATCTATGGCCCTGAAGCTTAAACATTGGCAAGCGCTTCACAAATGGAGGGCGGGTGTTTCAAAATGTGGCTCTCGCTTTAGCGCCGTGAACACTTGTTTAACACAGTTGCACAGTTGCAACCAGTTCACGGGTTGAGGGCGGATGGTTTTCAGAATGTGGCTCTCACCTTCGCGCCGCGCACACTCATGTCCAACAACTGAACGAGCATCATGTATTGAGGACGGAAGCTTTTTAAACATGTGGCTCTCGCTCTAGCGCCGCCACGGATTCCCAAGATCAGCGTACCAGAAATGGTATTTTGGATGGATTCAGGATTATGGGGATGCACCCGCTACGTTGGTTCGAGCTGATGAAGTCACAAGAGTGGCGTTCTGGCGCGTTTCTGGATCGCCGATATGCAACAGTCAGGTTGATCCGTGCCATTGGAAGCCAGAAAACAATGTGTTAGCATGCGTCAGGGTCGTCACACGGTTGCGTTCCAACGAGGCAGCTCCTTCTGTGGAAATGAACCGTTTTACGGGCCTATGACGAGGGAGCTCGGGTGGAGGGTAGATTCCCACGTCGTTGACGACTCTTGGGCTTACACTGGTCCTCCTCCTCCTCGTCCTCCTCCTCCTCCTCCCGTTCCTCCTGCTCCTATTGCTCCTCCTGCTCATCCTGCTCCTCTTCCTCCTCCTGTCACTCCTCCTTCTCCTCCTCAGCCTCCTCCTCCTCCTCCTCCTCCTTCTCCTCCTCCTCCTCCTCCTCCTCCACTCCTCCCCCCATCCTCCCCTTGATCTCTTCCGTCTCCTCCTCCTTCCTCTTTCCCCCCTCCTCCTCCCTCCCTCCTCCTCCTCCTCCTCCTCCTCCTCCTCCTCCTCCTCCAACTGCTCCCCCCGTTTACCCCTCCTCTTTCGTCCCCCTCCTCCTCCTCCTCCTCCTCCTCCTCCTCCTCAGGACGCAACAATAATTCTGATTCGCGGTGTTGAAGACTCAGGAATAGTATTGCGTCATGGTTTCGGGCTGCCAGGACGCAACAGGCACGTTGAGTCGTGCCTCTGGACTTTTCGGTGGCGCGGTTAGAGGTTCTCAAGGAAAGGTCTTTCCATGGGCCGCTTCCCGCAATAAACATAAAGTACGTCGGTACAGCTGATGATGGAACTTAGAGGGAGGGTTTATTGTAACATGTTGATGATTCTTGGCTTTGCACTGATCCTGCTCCTCCCCCCTCCTCCTCCTCCGCCTCCTCCCTCCTCCTCCTCCTCCTCCTCCTCCTCCTCCTCCTCCTCCTCCTCCTCCTCCTCTCCCTCCTCCCCCTCATCCCTTCCCCTCCCCCTCCTCCTCCTCCTCCTCCTCCTCCTCCTCCTCCTCCTCCTCCTCCTCCTCCTCGCCCTCCCTCCTCCGGTCCCCTCCCCCCCTCCCTTCCCCCTCTCCTCCTCCTCCTGTCCCCCCTGCTCCCCCCCTTTCCCTGCCTCCTCCCCCGGCTCCCCCCCCCCCCCTCCACGCCGCCCACCCCCCTGAGAGCGCAGGCGCCCCGCACGCGGGCCGTCCCCGCCCAACCCCCCGGGGCCGTCCTTGCCGGAGCCCCCGTCGCCCTTGGCGTGGCCTGCCGGGGCTGCATATTTTTTTCGGGAGCGGCCAAGGGGGGGGGGGGCGTCCAAGAGGGGGGAGCGCAAACCATGGCCGGCGGCACGTGCGCGGCCCAGGGAGGGGGGGGGGCCAGGGACGTCACAAAAGAAGAAGAGGCGCCATGACATCTGGGGAAACATCATGGCCCACGCCATGATATCCACCCCCCTCTAGTCATCAACCCCCCTCTTTGCCGCCCCCGATTTTTTTCGGGCGGGGGGCGCGGCCACTGGTCCAAGGCACCGTCGAGCAGCGGCTCGGAAGGCAGCCGGGACCCAAGGGAAGGGTCGGGGCGCGACTCCCCTGAGATCCCGGCGCCTCAGCGTTCTTGCGCCGAGCACTTTCGCGCGACCTTGGGGTCCAGGGGTCCGGTCTTGTTTTGTTTGCGATGTTGCAGCTGTTTTGCAACGTTGGATCTCAGGGTATGAAGGGTGTGGTTTTAGAGGTCTCCTAAACAGGGTCCGAGTACGTAGATGGGGTCGGAGGATCTCGCCGCATCGCCGACACATCGTCGATGCATCGGCGATGCATCGGCGACGCATCGGCGCGGAGAAAATCGTGCCCCGCATAGAGCCGCATCGCCGATGCACCGGCGATGCGCCGCGGTCCTCCGACCCCATCTACTCGGACCCCATCTAGGCCTACCCATCCGTCGGAAGAAGCAGGCCGAAACAGGAAGTAGGAAGGCGATGACAAAAGACTGGGTGTCCGCCCGCCCCCCAAGGGGATGGCAAAGGTGAAGCCCCTCGACCACTGAAGCAGGAAGGCGCTCAAAGTAGATTGGAATCTGGGGATCCAGACTTATACTTCCCACGACCGCTGGGTAGAGGTCTGCAAAGGGCGTGGCTCGCAGCTGACACTCCGAGGGGGGCCCCCCCACGGAGGATGCGGGCCGGGGCCTCGGCGGAGCTCTCTCTCCTCCGCGCCCCGAGGAGGGGCCCGGCGGGGACGGTGGTCGGGCTCCCCGGGCCCCAGCGGTGCCGCTCGCAAACCGCACCCCAGCGTGCAGTCGGCCCGCATAAGAAGGATGCGCGCTGAGGATGCCGGGGCCCTGGACGACCATTTCGAAGCTCGTCGATGTGACCCACATGTGGGGTGAAGAAGGGGGCCCTGAGGGGCCCTCTAAACAGGAGGGCCCAGAAAGGGTCCCCAAAGGGCCCCGTCTGGGCCCTCTTCTTCCCCCCCTATCAGGTCCCCCTCCCCCATCACAGTCAACCCGTATCATAAGGATGCGCGAGAAGGATGCGATGGCCTTGGACGCCCATCTCGAAGCTCTTCGAGCGGGGCGCGGCCAGCGAGTGTCCAAGGATGGACCCAGCAGGCAAGGATGCAAGGGTACCCTTGGAAAGGTTGCCCATCCTTATTATGCGGGTTGACTGTAACCATGTCCTTTGCTGTAGTCGCCGAAAAAGGTCGTGCCTTCTGGCGACGGTGAAACCGTACTGAACCTATCGGAGTTCCCCACGTGAGGAGTTCGAGCGGCTCGCTGGCACAGCGAGGCACAACACCAGCAGAGCATTGAAAGCCGAGAACACAGAGATACACGCACGTGGGGGGAGACGAAGGGAAGGGGAGAGAACCAGCAGAGAGGAAGAGGATGGCCGTTCACTACACACTCCCCTCCCATGTTCGAGTTTTGCCGTCTGCCAGCCTTCCTTAACAACCCCCCGGTCCTCCTCGGTCCTCAAAGCTTGCTCCGCATCCACCTGCGCATAGCCCGCGCGGTCCGACGCGACATTGTTGGAGGGGGAAACGGGGCGCTGGTGGTGGGGAGGGGAGCAAAAACCTTGACGTGTTTTTTGCATGGTGCACGCATGGCCCGCGCTGTCCGACGCGGCATCCCTGGAGGGGCGGGGGAACGGGGCGCTGGTGGGGCTGGTAGAGTGGGATGGGCACAGGCCCTGATAGATAACATGGTACACGCATCGCCCACGCGATCCGACGCGACCTCCGCGGAGGGGGGGGTGGAACGGGGCGCTTGTGGGGCTACTGGAGTGAGATGCGCACGAACGCTGGCAGATATAAAACAGTGCGCGCATCAGCCCGCGCGGCCCGACGCGACCTCCCTGGAGAGGGAAACGAGGCGCTGGTGGGGCTGGTGGAGCACGGGGAGCACGCACCCTGACACAGGATGATACGCGCACACCTGTGGCGTCCAAAGGGGGGGCCGCGAATCATGGCCCGGTACGTGTGAGCGGACCAGGGGGGGGCCAGGGAACGTTTTGAAATGAGAAGAGGGACCACGAAATCTAGTCATCACCCTGCTCTTGGACGCCCCAAGGTATGACCCGCGCGGTCGGACGCGGCCTCCCTGGAGGGGGGAACCGTGCGCTGGTGGGGGCTTCACGAACCCCGATTCATGGCAGGATGCGCGCATAGCCCGCGCGACCTGGCGCGGGCGCCCCTGGAGGGGGAAAACGTGGCGCCGGTGGAGCTGGTGGAGTTACAGACCTCGTGCTAGCAGAAGGAACACTGAATCAGGAACGAAGGAGCTATTCTGGCCACCAGCCGCCAGGGGGGCCCAAGCGCGGATGCAAGAAATCCGAGCGGAGCGCCACAAATTTATGTTCAGTTCATGTCGTTTTGCCTTCTCCGGGATATATTTACATCGAGGCAAACCACTATGTTTCGGACGCTCGCTTGCGAGCAGGCGCCTTGCGAGCAGCGGAACGTGCTCGGTGCTCTTCGGGAGGACGCCCTCTTGAGCAGGGACCGACCGCCCCGGCATTCCTATATTAAGGGGTCCTGGGACACACAAATAAATACACACAAATAACAGGATTCCCCATATGTTTCCCATATGTTCTGGGGGATCGACGATTAATTGTGTCTGTGTGTTTTCCCACCTAACTATAGTCCTACCACGTTATGTTCTTAGAACCCAAACATGTTCTAAGAGCAAACACAAAGGTTCTTAGAACATAAACCCGATGTGTTAAAATAAAACAAGCTCAAGCAGAAATGTTCTGAGAACATTTCGTGGAAACCACAGGAAAGGTTCTTAGAACATTGTTTGGTAGGGCTACAGGCGAGCCAGGACGCTTCGCCACTGCTTGAGCCTCCGAGGCCGCTCGCGAGGCTGCCGCGCCGCTTCGGCGGGAGAGAGGGGCTGGCGCAGGGCACGCGAAACGGGGCGGGCCCGACCACAGAGCGTGCCGGCGCCGGCAGCACTCGTTGGGAGGCGGCGGACGGGCGAGCGCGGGCCGGCCAAGCCGGAGGCACAGCACAGTACCGTCCCGCTGAGGTGAGCTGCGTGTATGAAGGGGCCCTGGGAAACACAAATAAATGCACGCGAATAAAAGCATTCCCCATATTTTCCCATATTTCCTGCGTTTTCGTCTTCCCCCCCCACTTCCCATATTTTTCCGAAATTTCCTTGGGAATCGACGAGTAATTGTGTCTGTGTTTTTCTTTTCCCCCTGAGTGTAGATTGGGAAGTCGTGCCTGCTTCGGAAAGAAAAAAAACTGCTCTCAGTAACGCAGGGGCGACTGCCCAGCACGCGCAGCTCGTCCCTCCCGCCGACGACCGAGACGCCGACCACCGACTCCCAAGGCCACCCCGCGCCGTGGAAACAGCAAAAACCGCGACACAGCCGGTGCTTACAACCCTCGGCCTCCGAGGCCGTCACAAAGAGCAGAACGGGAAGAGAAGCTGGTCCCGTGGGGATGGGTCGAGACAACATGGGGTCCCCAGTCGTGAAAACATCAGAGGGTCGCGGGTTTGGGTGCGCATCCACACCACGCACATCCTAGCGAGGCCAATCCTGCGGAGGCCTGGGGATGACCAGAAACCCGCGTTAATGCGCGAGAGTCTCACCTGGCGCGGGTAGGACGCGCGCAATTAAAGGGGCTTCCCCCCTCTCAGGAGCTGGGAGGGGGAGGAGGAGTAGACAGAGAACGAGGAGAACCCGGGCAAACCCCAAACGCCCTGAACAGAGTCAAGTGTGCCGCCATCTTCAGCTCCCCACCCCAAAGATGGCCACACAACCCTCCATCATGCCTCCAAGAACCACCCGAGAGGCAGCAGACGTTCCCCAGGTAAAACGACGCCAGGGCAGGGACAACCTCAGACGGGGATACATCGGGAATCTTTGAGATCCAGCAGTTCTGGAGGACGTATTGGGCGCCGCGGCCTTCTCAGAGCGTTCTGGACCACTCTAAGGGCGCTTTGGAACGCTCTGGAACGATTTCATCCCTGTCCTAATGCGCCCCGTCCGATGTGAAATCTTGATCATGTCCCAGTCGCGCTCCGCTTTCAGCCGCTGCGACGAATCACCCCCGAAGCGAAACATCCAACACCCCGAGGGGCTGGCGATGCAGCGAACGCCAACGAATCAAGTGCTTCGCCATCTTCGGCGTCTGGAGGCCATCTTCGGGCTCCAAGACAATCAAAACTTATCGAAGATCCGACTCAAGATCGGCGAATGTACCTGTGTCCGCGCCCTCGCACAGGGAACCGGGAAAACCACGAAAACTCCAGGGCCCGTCTACCTCGGGACCCGCTTCCTTCCTGGGACGCACAGGGATATACTAATACTATATGTCCTCCTTGGACGCGAGCGTCCGACCCGAACATGTAGTATATCCATCTTGTAGTACATCCTTTCCCATGCGGTGTGGCCAGGTAGCGCCCGCCACGACGCATGTACTACAAGATTTCTTGGTGTGCGCGTCGCCCCTCGGGGGGCGACGCACACTTAGTAGAAGTATGTTGGGGTGACGCCGACTTCACGGCGAAGCGCGAGGTCAGTCGAGGTTGACGCAGGCAAGGCTGGCGGCCAGGAGTCTTTTGCCCTGGGCCTCGTGACGCGCCGGGATCCCTGGAGAGGGCCCGCCGGGCGCGCGAGGCGCGAGGGGCGTTCGGACCCGCACGGGGTCTCCATGGGACTGGCGCGAGGGGCGCGGGACCCCCGACGTCGTGTGACTGTCATAACGTCGACCCCCAGAGCCCCAAAGGCCTCGACCCGTTTCCCGTTTTTTCATCACCATCATCATCATCATCATCATCATCATCATCATCATCATCAGCATCATCATCAGCATCATCATCAGCATCATCATCAGCATCATCATCATCAACATCATCATCAGCATCATCATCCATGTCATCATCATCAGCATCATCATCATCAACAACATCATCATCACCACCACCATCAGCATCCTCATCAGCATCATCACCATCAGCATCATCACCATCATCGTCATCATCAGCATCATCATCATCGTCGCCAGCATCATCATCAGCACCATCAGTATCATCAACAGCATCAGCATCATAATCATCAGCATCATCATCGTCATCATCACCATCATCGTCATCATCATCAGCATCATCATATTCAGCATCAGCAGCATCAGCATCAGCATCATCAGCACCATCATCAGCATCATCAGCATCGTCATCATAAGCATCGTCATCATCATCATCATCATCATCATCATCATCATCATCATCATCATCGTCATCATCATCACCATCATACTCATCATCGTCATCATCATCAGCATCATCAGTGTCATCTGCAGCATCATCATCAACATCACCATCATCATCACCATCATCGGCATCATCAGCAGCACCATCATCAGCATCAGCATCTTCAGCATCATCTTCAGCATCATCAGCAGCATCATCAGCATCATCATCAGCATCATCATCAGCATCATCATTTTGTGGACGGCCTAGAGGTTCGGCAAGGGCCCCCACGAAGGCCCGAAGATCAGGAAAACGCCCTCTCTCGTGTTGCTTTTGTGTTTGGCTCGAGGGCGTCTGGGTCTTGGGCGCAGCAGGCGCCCGAAAGGGCCGGAAGGATCGGCGGCGAGCGAGGGGGGGAAACGAGAAGGGGCGGCAGAAGGCTCGGAACCCGGCCTTCTGGGGAGTTCTCTGAGCCCTCCCCGACGACAAATCGCACTCCTCAAAGGCGCGAGGGCTTCTGAGGAGCCCTGACGCCTTCTGTGCAGGCCTTCTCCTTCTCACTTCCCCCCCCCCTCGCTTGCCGCCGAAAGGAGCGCCAGCCGGGCGTTGGCAGAAGTGGGTTTAAAGGGACCTGGTTTGGTGATGTGTACCGGGGGGCGCCCCCCCCGTCCCATTCCACTAACCGGAACTGCCGTAACCCGAAGAGCATCAGCCACGGCAGACCTGGTTTAGCGATTCCAATCCATCTTTTGGGCCTCGGGGACCAATCACTGACCGGCTCCCCTTGCCTGGCTATACCCGAGCCAGGCGGGAGACGCACCGCGAGAGAGGGACGGGCAGAACAGCGGCTGCGCTGCGGCCGGAGCGGCGGGCGGCGCGGCGGGCTCTCTCCCGGCCTTTCGTGCCGTCGTGGGCCGCGAGCTTGACGGTCAGCGTGGAGCCCTCCGGGACGTGGCGGGGCATGCCGGCTCGGCGGCGAGCCCATGGGGGGGAGGTGGGGAGGGGGGCGGGCCTTCTGGGAAGGCTGGGAGGGGCCTTCTCGGAAGGCTGGGAAGGGCCTCCTCAGGAGGCCGGGCCTGAGGGGTCTTCTCGGAAGGCCAGGGGGCTCCCGAAAGGCCCCGCCGCCGCCTCTGAAGGCCTTCTCCTTCTCGCTTTCCCCCCCCCCCCGGGCTCGCCGCCGAGCGATGTGCTGATTCGGGGATGGACAGAACCCCCTATAGCAAAACGTGGTTTAGTGAAAACGACCTCGGGCGCAGGCCTGGAAAATGACGGCCGCACCCCCCCGTCAAGAGCCGAAAACGGACAGTTCACTAATCGCCCTGTCAGAGTGGGGCTTTTTGTCCACCCCCGAACGAGGTGCTGATGATGGAGGCGCGCGTCCGGCACGGACAGGCAGTACACACAAATCTTGGACGCACATCGCTTCCCGAGCGGTATGGCCCGAGAGCGCCCGCCGCGAGGCTTACGCTAGAATCTATTTCCTGGCGTGCGCGTCGCCCCCGCGAGGCCGACGCACACACACAGCATCAGCATGCGTGGGGGCTGACCCTCTGCCCGACCTGCATCCCGTGCGCACCCCTCTGACTTCTGTGCCGTACACGTCCCGCTCGGATGCGAGCTCTGCCCCTCCCAGCCCCCACCAGCACGGTCGCGCGGTTGACGACCTCGATGGCCCTCTGCGCCTCTTCCATGCTCGACATCTTGACAAAGCCAAACCTGACGGCGGGCGAGGCTTTGCCCCGCTGGGAGCGAAGGAGGAAGAGTGTGTCCCCCACGCGACAACAGAGCCTGCGAATGCCTCGCGACGACTTGCGTGCCTGGGCGACCCGGCCTAAAAATCAGCGACAGCACTGCTGGGACTACAAGGCACGGAGGCAAGCGTGCGATCTGGTCTGGACGGGAGAGCCTGAGGAAGACGATGATGAGGAGGAGGAGGAGGAATATGACTGGCGGAGCGCTTCCGAGCGGCACCTGGTAGCCTGATTTCGGAGCGAGAGCTGCTCCGCGCGCAGGGTCTGGGCCTTGCTCAGTCCCTGCAACTCCCAAGCCTCCTGGGCTCCACCCTCGGGATGGGGACCAGCTCCTGCGTCCTTCCCCCCACCACCTTCCGCATCCTCCACCCGAGGAGGAGGATGAGGGGGCTGGTGAGGGTCAGAAGGGCGCGCAGGCAGCCCGATGGATTCGTAGAAATCCAGCACCTGGTTTCGAGTGACGGTGGAGACATCTCCCTCCAGAACTGTGGGCAAACACGGATGGCGGCACTTTTTGACAATCGATTCCGGCGAGTCTTGGCATGAAATTATGACCCGAGGTTCTCCTGGACAACCACGCAAAACGACTGGCAAGCATCCCGCATCGGCGGCAGAAGGTGTTGGGACGAAGCAGGAGGAGGAGGAGGAAGGAGGAGGAAAGGGAGGCGGAGGAGGGGGAGGAGGAGGAGGAGAAAAGGAGGAGGAGGGGTGGGAGGAGGAGGTGGACGAGGAGGAGGAGGAAGCTCGGCTCGCGGTTCGGTTCGGGCCCTGCGGGTGTCTTTGCAGCAAGGATGCTGCACTCGACACGTGGGGGTCATGCGAGAGAAGATCTGAGATAGGCAAGAGGATAGAATAATAATCAAAACAAAAAACACTCGACTAACAAAACTGCATACACATAAACTTCTGGCGCTCCGCGAAGATTCCTTGGATCTGCACCGGACCCCCCTCCCTGGCGCGCTCCGCGCGCCGGAGGCACCGCCAGGGGGCCCCAGCGCGGATCCAAGAAATCCGCGCGGAACGCCATCCCGTTGTTTCTACTTCGGGAGGACGAGGAGGAGGAGGAGGAGGAGGAGGAGGAGGAGGAGGAGGAGGAGGAGGGCGGCCAGAGACAACCCAAGATGTGCCAACGATGCTGCAGTGCGGACGCGGCCGCAAGAAACCCTCGCAAGAAACCCAGACATGAAAACCCGCGCGCGATATGCACACGGGGGGAATCCAGAGCACCCTGAACGCAGCCGCTTCTTCAACGGCCGCGGGAAATCACCGCGCAGCGCGCGGAGCGAAGAAACCCAGGGTACCCTAACGAATAGCTGATGGTGTCTTGATGCGCGTCCCCGTACCCGCGTCGCAACATCATCCAAACAAAGGGCCCAACCAGATATGCAAGTGAGAGTATCGCAAGGCAGGTGGGGCAAAATAACGGATTTCCTTATAGAACCACGAAACGTGTGAGGAATGTGCCGAAGTGGGCTGGGGGGCGCTACATGGCAGGTTTTACCACATGGGACTTTAAAACATATAGGATTTTAATACATGATGAATGTATGAATCAATTTATGCATGAACTCATCGTTGTTGTTAACACTAAATCCCTGCATGTTTAATACATGATCCGCACGCGGAGCATGTATAAAAACGGCACTGTATGTGAACCGATTTCCATTGGGAGCCTCTTCCCCGCTGCAGACCCTCCAGCCCCCGAGCCCCCTCCACCGAGGAGCCCTCCTCACTGTGCGCACCGCGCCCCTTGAGAAAGGCGAGGCGCCCCGGGGGCCAGCCGTGCGGGCGGCGGATCCGTCCTGAGAGAAGCTGCCCTCTGGAGGACGTGGCCGTTGCCGTGACACCCGACGGAGGGCAGACACTTGTCCATTGGCGGCGAGCGACGGGGGGGGAGAGTGAGAAGGAGAAGGCCTTCTCAGAAGGCGGCGGGACTTCTCAGAAGCCCTCGCGCCTTCTGAGGTGTTTGCTTCTGTCTTTGGGGAAGGCTCAGAAGGCTTCTCAGAAGGCCGGGGGACTTCCGAGCCTTCTGAGAAGGCCTTTTCCTTCTCCCCCCCCCCTCGCTCGCCGCCGAGTCAAGGGCCTCCACCCGGAGTGTTGTCAAGAGGCTGGATGCGTGGGCCGTGATTCGCTCGAGGTGCTGGACTACAGGGTGAAAAAACTGCATAAACACAAGCTGCCCCCCGAGGGCAGATACGTGTCAAGGGCCTCCGCCTGGAGTGTGGTCAGGAGGCTGGATGCGTGGGCCTTGATTCGCTCGAGATGCTGGACTGCACGGAGAAAAAACCGCATAAACAGGAACTGTCGACGGTCTGCGCGGATCTCTTGGGTCTGCGCTGGACCCCGATCCCTGGCGCGCGAAGCGCGCCAGGGGCGGCGCCAGAGGCGCTGCCAGGGGGGTACAGCGGGGAAAGACGATCCTAGATTCTGGTGTCGGTGGTAATCTTTCGGGCCCCCAGGAAGCCCGACTATTACCACCATCATCGAGAGTGGGAGCATCTCCCCTCGGTGGAGGCACACCGCCAATATTGGTGCTGGTGTCCACCTCTGGGCATGCGGTGGCGGCCTCGAAGGGAGCTCCAAAGCGTCGACGTCATCGCCGTCCGCTGGGCCAAACGGACCAGGGGACCGCAGATCCATGCGGGCAACACGTATATCCATATCCACTGCGTCTTGGACATTCTGGGGATGGGCGCCAAAAGGCCGAGGCGCAGTGGACACGGATAAACATCTAGCCTCTTCGGAGGGAAGGGAAGAATGCACAGTCGCCGATTCTGGCCAGGCCCATCCTGAGCCTGGGATCGGTGCATGCGCCCTCCTGCCTTGGCCAGGAAAGCATGTGCACAGAACGTGGGCCCAGGATGGGCCTGGACAGGACCGGCGAATGTGCATAACGTAGTTCTCTTCGCCCGACTCTCGGGGTCGGATTCTTAGGCATGTCCACTGCGCCTCTGATTTCTGGGGAAGAGAACCCGACACTCCAAGACGCGGTGGCTCAGGACACAAATCTCTGGCACGCCGCCCAGACCCTCAGATCCAGGCGACGCAGCAACACGAAACGCGACGGGCGGCAGAGACGGGCACGAAAGCACCGTCTCGCCGTCGGGGACGCCTGCCCCCTGGGCGGCTGCGAAGTTTACCCCCCTACGGATAGGTCGGGCATGTCCTCCTACAGGCGGACGTGAGAAGAAAAATAGAAGATAGCCAAAACATTTGAAAAGTGAATGATCGTCCCCAGACTATTGCTTGAATACTCTTGAATGTTCCTCCTGTAGAGGGACATGCCCGACTCAATCTTAGGCAACAGATAATGATATAAAACTAACTTTGCCGACGTCGGGGGCGCTTGTCTCCCCGAGCGGCTGCAAAATTTATACCCCTTCTCCTGCCGCACGGGGGGGGCAGGTGACCCCGACGGCGGCCAAATTTATGCCATACCGTTCTGTTCGCTCTCCACGGAGTCGCATCGCTGCCACGTCGGGCGGCGCATGCTTGCCGATGCATAGTCGCAGGATCTGCTGCAGCCAGGTGCAAACGCAAGCGCAGCGTCCTGGGGAGTCGCATCGCTGCCACATCGTGCAGCTCATGCTTATGCGAAGGCGTGGTCGCAGGACCTGCTGCCGTCAAGGTGCGTACGCACAAGCGCGTATCTGCTGCGCGCTCCAGGAGCCACCGAGGCCCGACTACGTGCCGCAAAAGAGCGGCGGCGGCGGCGACCTGGACCCGAGTCGTTTCTTGAGACGGCCCCGAGGCCCGCTGAAGGGAGGCAGAACATACAGGCGGACTCGATTGGACAGGACACGCGAGAGGATACAAGACCCTTCCGAGGGCCACATTGCCACAGGAATGTAGGAAGCATGGGTCGCGAGACACAGGACACAAGGGTACCCTTGATTCGGCAGGGCCGACCTACGAAATCTGGGCCGACTGTAGCGAAGGCCCCTCCGCCGTGATCTCTTCTCTCGTGACCCGAGAAGGGTCTGCGGGCATCGCAGGACCACTTCCCCGGGACCGGCTGTTCGTCCCGAGCTTTTTTTGGGGGGGGGACGGCCCCGAGGCCCGCTGAGGGGAGGCAGCACACAGCGAAATCAGACTTTCTGTCGTGACTCTTCCCACGGCCCTATAGGGAGCGCCACCGAAGGCGATGATTCTCAAAGGGAGCGCCACCCAGAACTGCATCTGGTTGGGCCTTTCGCCAGGATATCGGCGGTGAGCGAGGGGGGGAAGTGAGAAGGAGGAGATCGTCTCAGGAGGCGGCGGGACTTCTCAGAAGCCCGCGCGCCTTCTGAGAAATCTTCTGTGCCTTCGGGGAAGGCTCAGGAAACTTCTCGGAAGGCCGCGGGACTTCTGGGCCTTCCGAGAAGGCCTTCTCCTTCTCGCTCCCCCCCCGGCGCTCGCCGCCGGAAACGATCTCATGACCCGAAGAGGGGGCCTGCGGGCACCGCAGGGCCCGGCCAGGACAGCCCCCGCGCAGCGGGCGGCACATGCAACGCCCCCGGCCGCACGCCGCGCTGGAGGCCCAGGCCGCCCACTCACATCCCAAAGCCGCGGCATGTGTTTGACGCTGGCCAGACATGAATTCACTCGAGGCTGCTGCGTCCCTCAGCCACTGAATCTCTTGCAGGGACATGCCCAAAGAACATCCCCAGAGGAAGAGTGCAAGAGGAAGGAGAAGAGCGTGAAGTGCGGCAGTAGTGCGAACGCGGAGCAGGCGGGAGAGGCGGAATAATCAAGTTGAGCAACGATCCAGACCGCCTCTGCATGCTCCTGGCCCCTCCTGGGCCTACCCTCTCTCTCTCTCTCTCTCTCTGGGGCGCCCCCGTCGCCACGTGAAACCGACTATGGCAAATTCGTGTCGTGCCGACCTCGGCGTTGGCTCCTGACACCGCCGGGATCACTCCACCGTGAGCGATGGGCCGTTTCAGAAACGTCCGATCGCTCAACACGGGGCGATTCGGGGTCGCCGGCAGCGTTCACCGTTTGAACGCCGGCAGCGGGGTCGCCGCCAGTCGACGCGACGTGAACCTACCGCACGGCCAGAAAGCACTCCAGGGCAGGCCGGGGGGGGGGGATTCCCCCCGCCGCCCAGGACCCATCCCCATCTGGAAGGCCTGGACGAACGTGGCCCCACTCGGGCTGAGTCGCTACTCGACTCGGCAGAGTGGCGGTTTCAACCGGATCAAGCTTTGCAGCCCTCTCGCACCCCGAGAGGCCCGCCGAGGCATCCCCGCGGTGACCTCCGGAGGCCTCTGGGGACATCCAGGGGCTTCCCCTGGAAGCTTCCCGCTGCTGCTTCTGCCTCTCCTCTCCTCGCCGTCCATCTCGTCCTGTCCGCGTTCCGTCTCTTCTCCCATGGTCGTTCTCTTTATGCGCCTTCTCCTTCCCCTCCTGGTCCTCCTCCTGCTCCTCCTCCTGCACTTCCGCCTCCTCCTCCTCCTCCTTTTCCTCCTCGTCCCCCTCCTGGTCCTGTTCTCATCCGCAGCTGTTCCTTCTAGTCCTGCTCTCCCGTTACTGCTTGAATCTTATCCCCCCCCTCCTGGCACTCCTCCTCCTGGCACTCCTCCTCCTGGCACGTCTGCTCCTCCTCCTCCTCCTCCTCCTCCTTCTCCTTCTCCTCCTCCCTCTCTCTCCTTACCCTCCTCCTACTTACACTCCTTCTCTTCCTCCTTCCTCCTCCTCCTCCTACTCCTGCATTCCTTTTTCCTTAAAAGTAATTTCTCCCTGTCGCACCCCGAGGCCAGTTTTAAGGGCGGGCCGGGTGTTTCGCCTGAGACTTCCTCACGATTTATGACCCTGAAACTTGAATATTGACAACAGCTTCACAGATGGAGGGCGGGTCGTTTTCAAAATGTTGCTCTCGCCTTAGCGCGGCGCACATTCGTGTAAAACATGTTCAAGAGTTTCACTGATTGCGGGCGCGTGGCTTTCAAGATGCGGCTCTCGCCTTAGCGCGGCGCACATCCATTTCGAAAAACTGCAAGAGCTTCACGGATTGAGGGCGGCTCCTTTTCAAAACGTGGCTCGCGCCTTGGCGCCGCGAGCATTCATCTCAAGCATCTGCAGGAGCTTCACGGACTGAGGGTGCCTCCATATATAACCATACATCTTCGGAGCTCCGCGCGGACTCCTCGGATCGGCGGTGGACCCTCCCCGCGTGGCGCGCGGAGCGCGCCAAGCGCGGCGCCGGGCACGCCGCCAGGACGGTCCATGTTTGATGGCCCCGGGACCTGACGACGGGCACCGGAAGCAGAAATCTGGGGTTGGCTCGGGCATGGCCCCCCACAGGCGGCTTTTGAACGAGAAATCAAGAATACTGTCAACATACCCCAAACATAGTCTATAGTCAAAAGATCGTCCCCAGACTAGTTTTGTTGACTATTTTTGAATTTTCCTCCTGTAGGGGGACACGCCCGACTGAAATCTAGGAAGCGCCCCAGGACCGGAAAAACAGACCGCCGACTTCCCTCGGGCCCTCTCGCCCTCGTGGCGAGTGATCGTGTCGTCGCCATCCTCCTGGGGAAGGAGTAAGCAGCACGCAGCGCGGGGGAGCCCCCGGTCCGCGAAGAGCTTGGTCGAGACGATGCTCCCGCAGCCCTCGAAGAGGCTGCGGAAGAGGGCTTCTGGGCCGGCCCCCACGCCCGGAGGGAGGCGAGGAGACCGATGATCGGGCCAGGCAGGAGTGGGAGAACAGCCGGCCCGTATCAGAAGGATGCGCGATGAGGATGCAAGGGCCGTGGAACGCCATTTCAAGGCTGCTCGAGCGGGGCGCGGCCAGCCAAAGTGGCCCAAGGATGGGCCGAAGGGGCGAGGACGCAAGGGTACCCTTGGGAAGGTGGACTGTAAAAGGGAGGGTGAGCGAAGCAGCTCGCGTCGCTCGCTGGCCCCGCGGAGCCTCCCCAGCGCTAAAGGGAGACCAGGAAGGGCGCCCGGCGGTGGTGCCGGGACCAGCTGCATGCAGTGCAGCAGATCTCGTAGCCCCCTCCCATTCGCCCATCCCCCATGCGTCCGACCCGAGAGGCAAGGGACGGGGATCCTGAGATACCCATCGGTCTGAAGAAGTAGGCAGAAACATGAAGTAGGAAGGCGTGGGAAGCAGATCGGGTTTCCGCCCGCCCCTCACAGATGAACAGGAAATGGGGAAAACGCTCGCTGATTGAAGTAGCAAGGCGCCTAAAGTAGATGAGAATCTGGGAATCCCCAAACACCTACTTTCAACGACCGATGAGTACTTGCGCCGCATGGTGTCGCAACGGGCGATCTTGGCCTGCTCAGGCCCTGGACCCCGGGCTGCAGTCGACGATCCTCGGAACGTGTGCTGGCAGCGCCAGCGTGTGCTTGTCCGGCACAGCCCTTCAGTACGATTCAGGCGATGTAATGAAGGCCGACACGAGCTGCGTGCTATCGGCGGAGCTGCACGGGGAAAACGCAAAAAGCGGGCCAGCACACTGACTGGTGATCATCGTGACAGACTGCGTGGCAGAACCCCTTACCACAATACTCCAAAGGTATGCACTGATCGACGGGCCTCGTCCCGTCGCATCCGCCTTGATAACTGTGATGCTTGCCCTGACGAGTACTTGCAAGATTCTCGCGGCAAGAAGGGAGGGAGGCACAGGTCAGGATCTGTCAATGGTGCAGACGACACGCTGGGATACAATCCTGCGTCAACGGATGTGAACGAGGAAGGCAAGAGAAACACCCGAAACACGAGCACCCCAATGACAGAGGCCCTGAGGAAAACACGCCCGAAGAAGCTATCGAACGGGACAAGGCAAGTTAGCGTGTAGCGAACTCACGGGGCTCTTGAGCAACTAAACGCCACTTATCTGGGTGGGGGTGGTTCTTCTCCCTTGTAGCCTGGCAGAAAGAATGAAAATAGGATGGGCAATCCGAAGTGAAAGCCCGCGCGATGCTGTATCCCCGGTTCCTTCAGATAGAGGGGGAAGGAGGCGAGAAGAGCCCTTCCCTTAGCTCCTGCTGGATCCGCTGACGCCAGGCGTGCGCTGCTTAGGGAGCGAAAAGGAGTCATACACATAAGCAGATTCTGGATTAGGGCTGGGCACATGCCCCTTCACGGGGCATCGCACGCATGCAACTGCGCTGGGCGCGCAGACAAAGACAAACTCACGACCAACGCTACGCTGCATCAAGGGGTCAAAGCATGGTCGTGATTTGGGGAAACCTAGTACAGGAGGCATGCGGAATTCTCATGGAATTCTCAGACAAGCTATTTCAACTAATTCTGTCATTCGAACAATTCGACTGGTTGCGCGCTTTCTGCCTGTATGTCACTGCCGGGAACATCGTAATTCATTCCGCGCCAATCCGTATGCCCCTCCCCCCAGCACACCAAAGCACACAAAGAAGATCCAAGACGACTTGCCGAACCAGACTGAATAGAAAGTGCTTCAACGACTTCAGAACCGCAGGCTCTCTCTTGAGTCTATCAGGGCCAAGCCGCAGGGTCCTTGAACAAGTCGACAGCCACCCCATGTCACTTTGCTAATGCATGGTTTTTGCTGCACAGTGATACGATAAACGTGCCGACTGGGCGCGCCAACCAGCGCGGCAACGCACTAAGTCGGAAACGCGTGCGTGCGCATAGAGAGAGAGAATGGCGTGCGCACTGAAACGCAACCAGTAACTCCTACGGTTCGCGCGCATGCGCGGGGATGGATCAAACTGCCACGTTGACCAAATCGGAAACGTGAACGACACATTTGGACGATCGCCGCACCTGTTCGCAGAATTGCTCAAGCACACGTCGCACTCACGAATGTGTGCAGCTTGTGTGCACCTCATTGTCGTCTGCGGCCAGGTGTCGAGTCCTCCTCACCATGCGGGGCACAGCGTCCTCAGGCACCGTTTAGGGGGCGACCGTTGCGGGATCGAATTTATCGGACGTTCGTCTTGCGAGACGCCCATCATCTTTTGCTTCACTAGAAAGAAAAAACGCCATGAACATAAACCCTCGGCGCGCCGCGCGGATCCAAGACACCCGCGCGGAGCGCTCACAATTTGTGATTGTTGTATTATTTCTTCTTCGAATTGTGGGCCCGAATTTAATCGGACGCGCAATTTGCGATCGGGGATCTTCTGACCCGGGTCAACCCTGACCCGGGTCAGTCAAGCCTCACAGAATCCTGCAAAATCCTGCACCCAAACCTGGGTCAATGCGAAGGATCCTGCAAGATCCTGCACCCAAACCAAGGTCATGGCGACCCTGACCCTGCAGATCCTGCAAGATCCGGCGCTCTGGCTGACCCCCGTGTGCATTGACCCCCGTCTCTTAGGCCCCGATGCGAGACGCCCAGCATCTTCCCGGGGCGGGGAGCAGCGAAAACACCGCGCCGTCGCAGAGATTTCGCGAGGCGCAGCGCTCCGGGGCCCTCGGCCCCCGGAGGCGCCGCCCAGGGGCTGCACGGCGCCGCCCCGAGAGAAGCGCAGCGCGGAGCTCCCGAAGGCCATGGGCATATCAGAGCCAGGGGGCCGAACGGTCGTTCGCTGTCCCTGGGCGCGTGGCTCAAGTGAGGTTCTGCGGTGCGGACTGTCGTTGTTGTTGTTGTTGAACACTATTACTTCTAAAGAATAATTATTGTTGGACCCCCTGGTGCACGCCCCCCGCCCAAAACCTAGGCCGCAGCTACATTTTCATCATTTTTCTGCGAAAGCTTCAGAAAAGTGGATTACCCCCGGATCCGGTTTTTTGTTGACGCTCGTTTTCCCTTGCAAAAAACAATAGAAAATGAAAATTCTTGTTCTTAGTTGATCAAATTTCAAGAATCCCTTGCAAAAAATAAGGTAAAGTGGACATTCGCGCTCGCAAGACGAAATCCTTCCAAAACCTTAGGTTTCGTAACGATTTTAACATAAAAACATCAAAAACCCAATGGTTTTTTAAGAAAAAATTGTCAAAATGTCCTTCCGCGCGCTCTTGCGGATTCATAGGAAACACACCACTTTTTAAACATTTCTGTCAAAAGGGTCTTTGCGTGCTACTTCTTCAGGTGCTTTGAACTTCTCCAACAACGGTTGCGCGCCTGCGAGGGCCACCATCCCTTGCAAAAAACGAGACGAAGTGCACTCATTGGGCAATCGGGACCGCACGGGTATCAGCCAGGCCCGCACGTGTATCAGCCAGGCAGCCGGGCACCCACGCGCCCGCTCCGCGCCATCGCAGACGACGATGCGTCGCGCCTTTAGTATGCTTCTGGATGCGAAGACCATTCGGTTGAGTATACCCCTACGTGTGACTGGACCTGTTTGCGAAAGCAGGAGAAAGTATGGCACCCCTTTGTGTCCAGAGCCGCGCCGTCTGCGTTCTTCCTTTCTCGCTTCTCTCCTTTCCTCCTTGTCCTGCTCCTCCTCCCCCTCTTCCGCCTTGGAGCCGTATTGGAACTGTCGATGGCCATCTCCCTTTCTCCCTCGCATGTCTGCTTGTACATACGTATAATTTCAGAACTTACCGTGCATGCGATCGTTTACAACATGGTGGACCGTGCGTATGTCACGAACCTTGTATACATGTGTTTCTCTCCCTCCGTCTGGCTGTGCACGCGCGCGTTGGGCACTGAGAGTTAGGATCATAGCGCCATGAGTCTATGAGCAATGCATGCGTCATCCTTGGGACTGTATAACATCAGTGTAACACATGTACTTCTGTAATCGCATCCCCACGAATTTGCCCCAAAAATGTGACCAACTATCTTGGCACTGCGTACCATCTCACGTGTACCGTGTACCACATCATATGTAACAGATGTGATCAACCTCTGTGGGTGTGTACCCCACGCCAGTGTAGTAGCCAGGGTCGTCCGCACGCCACGAAGTGAAGTGTCCCAACGTCATAGGGCGGGAAGCTGGGTGTGGGTGGTCTCGAAGAGTCGTTTGGATATTTGGTAGAGCTTGAACGGCCCCCCCACGAAGTGGGGGTATTGGCTGGTGTCGCAAGAAAACCCTGGCACTGGGGAGAACACTGAGCGTTCGGGTAAAATGATTGTTGTTGTTGTTGTTGTTGTTGTGTTGTTATTGTTGTTGTTGTGTTTGTTGTTGTTGGTGGTGTTGGTGTTGGTGTTGGTATTGGTGTCATTGTTGTCGTTGTTGTTGTTATGTTTGTTGTTGTTGTTGTTGGTGGTGTTGTTGTTTTTGTTGTGCTGCTTGTTGTTGTTGTGGTAGTTGTTGTCGTGGTCGTGGTTGTGGTTGTGGTTGCGGCTGTGGCTATTGTTGCTGTCGTTGGTGTTGCTGCTGCTGCTGTTGTTGTGGTGGCTGCTGATTTCCTCGATCGAAGACCCCCCCCGCCTTCGCGCCAGGCCGCCCCCCCCCTCGCGACCCCTCCTCGTGTGCACGCCGCTGGCCCCCGCTGCGTTTCGCGCGCGCGGCCTACGATTAGGTCGGGCACGTCCTCCTGCAGGCGGATGTTGGTAGGAATCATACATTCCAAAACTACGCCCCAAAAAAATAGGCCCAGAAAGAGATTTAATCGCTTCGCTCATTCCGCCGGCCCATAATGTCGCACCGTGGTCGCCTGTCCGAGTGGTCGTTTGCAGTGTGGAGCTGCGGCGTCGGGAGCTGTGAAGTGTTGGGGGCGTTCTTGGGGCCCTTTTGTGCCATCCTGGAGGCCTCTGGGGCCGTCTTGGAGCCGTCTTGGGCCGTCTTGGGGCCCTCATGGGGGCCTCTTGGGCCCTCTTGGGGCGATCTTGGAGGCCTCTTGAGCCGTTTAGGGGCGTCGGGGAACCGAAAAGGTTAAAACGCCCAAATCTGTCCAACACCAAAGGAAAAGCACAGGTTTTTGCCTCTTGGGGCCCTCTTGGGAGTTCTCTTGGAGGCCTCTTGGGGCATCTTGGAGGCTTCTTGGGCCATCTTGGAGACGTCTTGGGCCGTCCGGAGGCCATCTTGGGCGTCGTGGAGCGATCTTCGGGCGTCTCGGACCTCTCTTGGACCGTGTTGGGGGCGTTCTTGGGGCCCTCTTGGGCCGTCTTGGAGGCCTCTGGGGCCGTCTTGGAGCCGTCTTGGGCCGTCTTGGGGCCCTTTTGAGGGCCTCTTGGGCCCTCTTGGGGCGATCTTGGAGGCCTCTTGAGCCGTTTAGGGGCGTCGGGGAACCGAAAAGGTTGAAACGCCCAAATCTGTCCAAAACCTAAGAAAAAACATTGATTTTTGCCTCTTGGGGCCCTCTTGGGAGTGCTCCTGGAGGTCTCTTGGGGCATCTTGGAGGCTTGTTGGGTCATCTTGGAGACGTCTTGGGCCGTCTGGAGGCCATCTTGGGCGCCGTGGAGCGATCTTCGGGCGTCTCGGACCTCTCTTGGATTGTGTTGGGGGCCTCTTGGGGCCCTCTTGGGGCGATCCTGGAGGATCTGGGGGAGTGTCCCGGGCTCCGCCCGGGCTCCGCCCAGGCTCCGCCCGGGGTACTTTTGATCCAGGGACCCCCAGGGGCCGCCCCGCGCGCGCGAACTAGAAATACTGTTTACCAGTTACCGGAGATCTTAGCACGCCTCTGGCCCGTTGGGCCGGCGAATTCCACAACATACGCCCAACATATCCCAAACGTACGCCAAACTATTCAAAACAGCATTGGCAGGATGCCCAAACATGATCGTCGTCCCCAGACTATGTTTACTATGTTTGAAGATTCCTCCAATAGACAAGCGTGCCCGATTCAAGCTTGCTGGGGGGGGGAGGGGCGATGAGTGGGGGGGGCGAAGAGGTGTGCACCGCTGGGGCGATGAGACTCGGGGGGCCGAAGACGCGTGAACCGTCCGTGCCCGTGTTGGACCACGTTAGGGCCCCCGAAGTGCTGCACCTCGTGGACCCCTAATGTGGCCCAAATTCGTAGCCAATTCCAGGGAGTGCACCTCGGGGACCCCTAATGTGGCCCAAATTCGTAGCCAATACGCAGCTAATTCGGGGACCCCTAGTGTGGCCCTAATGTGGGAGGTGCATCTTTCTGCACCCCCCCGCTTCCAATTCCAGTCGGCTCGTATCAGAAGGACGCGAGAGAAGGATGCAAGGGCATTGGAAATGCCCATTTCGAAGCTCTCTCGAGCGGGGCGCGGCCAACTGAAGTGGTCCATCATGGACCGAGGAAGCACGGATGCAAGGGTACCCCTGGGAAGGTTGCCCATCCTTACTATGCGGGTCGACTGTATCGCCCCTCCATTCTAGGGAGACGGAAGACTCGGGTTCGGGGGACTCGGGTTGGCCTGGCGGGGCCATCAGAAAAATGGTGAGACCCAATATTAAACTTGAAGCGAGCTCCCGCCGCAAACATCCCACGAAAACTGGACCGCCAAAATCTGGGACTGGCCCCGTCAGAAAACGCCTGCAAACCCGAGATCCGGCGAACGCAAGTCCTACGCTTCCCCCAGTGTCACTCCCCGTTACGCAACCCAGGCTCCGACGTTGCAACAAAAAATGTAACATCGCAAAAAAACACGACCCGACCCCCAAAACCCATCTTTGCGCCTTAATTTTCGAGCTGGATCGATCTGTGAGGGTCCCAGAGCCCGAAATGGAGCGAAAACCCCAGGCTCGAAAAAGCTCAGTCGCCAGGATCTCCGGGTCTCCAGGGGTGCGTTCTGACCAGGATTTCGAATTCGAATCGAATCCAGCGGTGGCGACGAGGGCGCCCCAGGAGGCCCCAAAATAGCGAAAACGAGGCAAGGAGGAGGAGGAGGAGGAGGAGGAGGAGGAGGAGGAGGAGGAGGAGGAGGAGGAGGAGGGAGGGTGTAGAGCAGGAGGAAGTGGAGGAGAGAGGAGGAGGCAGGAGGCAGGAGGCAGGAGGCAGGAGGAGGAGGAGGAGGAGGAGGAGGAGGAGGAGGAGGAGAAAGGGGAGGAGGAGGAGGAGGAGGAGGAGGCAGGAGGATGTAGAGCAGGAGGAAGAGGAGGAGGGAGGAGGCAGGAGGCAGGAGGAGGGAGGAGGAGGAGGAGGTGGAGGAGGAGGAGGAGGAGGAGGAGGAGGAGGAGGAAGAGGAGGCAGGAGGAGGAGACGCCCGAACACTCGTGGCGCCCATCCCCCCGGGGCCATCGATGCCGTCCGGCAGGCTGCCGACGTGCAGGTTCGCGTGGCTGGCCATGCCGGCATGGCCGAGGGGGGGGGGGGGTGCGGCCGCGGTGCGCGGGGGGGGGGCCACCTCAGGCGGCCAGTGGCTGCAGGCCAGGCATGGGCCAGGCGCCGATGTTCGCCCCGCGGAGGGGGTGCGGCCCCTTGGAGTCCCGAAGCGGTGCGGTGACAGACCGTGGTGCGACCTCGAAATCCCCAAAGACCTCACCGCACGGTCCGTCAGCGCACGGTTTTGTGACCTCGGGTGCCCCAGTCGCCCGGGACGTCCTCGGAGAACGACCCGAGTCCCAAAACCGTGCGGTGACCCCGAATCCCCACCGACGCACCACACGGTGGTCACCACCCCGTTAGGGGACCCCAGAGGCCCTCTCAGAGCTCGGCGGGGGCGCCCGAGCGCCGAAACTCAGACGTCGTATTACAATCGGTTGCTTCAGAGTCCAGAATGCGCATCACTGACTCCATGGGAGCAATCCTGCCCATCAATTTGATGTATGGGGCGTTACGCAAAGAAGGGGCACATTTGCCTCACATGCGTTTGGGGCTGCAGGAGCGTCCTCCTGCAGGAGGTTCCGAGGAGGAGGCACGAGTCTGGGCCTTGCCATCGCTGCGACGTGCACAGTTCGGTTTCGCGAGCATTCTCTTGGCCCTCTGCACGCCTGCTCACCTCCTCCATTCCTGTTCCATATAGAAAAATTCTCCCTGTCGCACCCCGAAGCCAGTTTTTAGGGCGGGCCGGGCGCTTCGCCTGAGAATCCCTCATGGTTTATGACTATGGCGCTTAAAAATGACCACAGCTTCACAGATGGAGGGCGGGTGGTTTTCAAAATATGGCTCTCGCCTTAGCGCCGCGCACATTCGCCTTGCACAAATTGCACGATTTTCACGGACTGAGGGCGGGACCTTTTCAAAATGTGGCTCTCGTCTTAGCCCCGCGCACATTCGCTTCAAAAACTTGCAAGAGCTTCGAGGATTGAGGGCGGGACCTTTTCAAAATGTGGCTCTCGCCTTAGCATCACGCACATTCGTTTCAAACAGTTGCAAAATATTCACAGACGGAGGGCGGGTGGTTTTCAACATGTGGCTCTCGCCTTAGCGCCGCGCACACTCGTTCGTAAAACATTGAAAGTGTTTCACGGATTGAGGGCGGTTCTTTTCCAAAATGTGGCTCTCGCCTTATTGCCGCGCACATCAGTTTTAGAAATTTGCAAGAGCTTCACGGATTGAGGGCGGGTCCGTTTCCAAATGTGGCTCTCGCCTGAGCGCCGCGCATATTCGTTTTAGAAATTCGCAAGAGTTTCACGGATTGAAAGCGGCTCCTTTTCAAAATGTGGCTCTCGCCTTAGCGCCGCGCACATTCATGTCAACAAGTTGCAAGTGTTTCACATATTCCCATGCTCAGCGTACCAGCAGTGGTGTTTTGGAAAGATTCACAACTATGCGGATGCAACAATTATATTGGTTCGCGGTGTTGAAATCCCCTAAACGGTTCCAGATCGTCAGGACGCAGCAGTCAGGTTGATCCGTGGCGTGGAAATCCCGAGAACCATGTCTTGGCATGCTTCAAGGTCTTCAAACGGTTGTCTTCCAACGAGACAGTTCCCTCAATGGAAATGAACCATTGTAGGGGCCTATGAACAGGGAGCTTAGAGGGAGGGTTACTTCCAACATCGTTGATGACTCTTGGGTTTACACTGGTCCTCCTCCTCCTCCTCCTCCTCCTCCTCCGTCTCCTCCTCCTTCTCCTCCTCCTTCTCCTCCTCCTCCTCCTCCTCCCACTGGGCTGTTCAGTCCAAGCACTTGTACCGCCGATGGTATGCTCGGGACTGCTGATGACGACTCTGTCGCAGCGATTGATGGCAAGAGCCACGAGTGCTCCTGCCGACCAGTCCACGCGTCCCTTAGGATGCTTGGCGCTTGCTTGGTCCAAGATGCTCCAGATTGTCTCGTGCTAGCCTCGCCGAGAAAAACGTACATGTCCGAGCGATGCCAAGGGACGACTCCCCTGAGATCCTGGCGTCGCAAGTGTTTCACAGAAGGGGCGAGTTTGCCCTGGGTCCCGGGACCCACACCGGCCGATTTGGCTCGAAAACTGCCGCTGCAACATGGGGCACAGGGTGCTCTTGTCGCAATTTTTCTCCAGATTGAGACTCGTTCGCAATGCCGGTTCTTAGGGTCTCACCAGCCTGGCGACGCAACGCCCCTCCGCCAAAAGTCCTCCCCAAAATCCTGCGCTTCCTCCTACTCTTCCTCTTCTTCCTCCTCCTCCTCCTCCTTCTCCTCCTCCTCCTCCTCTGTTCTCCTGCTCGCCCTCCTCCACCATCCCCTCCTGTGTTTCTCCTCAACCGGATCTTCCCCTCCCTCTCCTCTTCCTCCTCCTCCGCCTCCTCCTCCTCCTCCTCTTTCGCTCGCCTCCTCCTATATCCCGCCTTTCATCCTCGCCATGTTAGCTGCCAAGCTGATGCCCAACAATCTGAAGGCGGGGCACCTACCTCACGGAAGCACAACTCGTGGGCGGCCAAGAGGGGGGCGTCCAAGGGGAGGGGGTGCAAATCATGACTGGCGGCATGTGCGCGGCCCAGGGGGGGGCTGGGGACGTAATAAAACAAGAAGAGGCGCCATGAAATCTGAGGAAATATCACGGCCAACGCCATGATATCTACACTCCCCTAGTCATCACCCCCTCTTTGCTGACCCCGAACCAAAGGCTAGTTGCCGCATTACCGTCCTACAGTCGGACTTGATTGGACAGGACGCGCGAGAGGACACAAGACCCTTCCGAGGGCCACGTTGCCACAGAAATGCAGGAGGCATGGGTCGCAAGACACAGGACACGAGGGCACCCCTGACCTGGCAGGGTCGACCTACTAATCAGGGGCCGCCTTTACAGAGCCGCAGGAAGCTGCACGAGGAGACCGAGAACGCCCATCGGCTACACGCAATTGACCCTGTGCAAGAGCGATCGTAAAACATTTTAGGGGCGTTTTGTATGTCCTTGAGGTGCGCGGCTTCAGGGGGGTCAGGCAAACTCAAGCGCGCGAGCTGCTACCGTCGTGCCGCATTCAACGGCCGGGGGACCCCAGAGGGCCCGCACCAAAGGTCACGTCCTGGCGAAGGCTCACTCTCGCGTGTACCCGAGCCCCGCAAACTGGCCGTCACGATGTTTCGTCGCCCCGATGTGAGGGGATGGGCAAGACCCTGACAACCTCGCGCCGTGAAAAAACACGACGGGACATATCCGGCAATTTTCGGTCTCTGGGGGCCCTCGCAAGGCCCTGGGACTGTCAACAAAAATTGCCCAGGTTTGAAAACCAGTGCAAGGGATGAGGTCCATACTGCTGGTTGCAAAATATACGCACGTGTCGCGTATAAGAGCGAAGACACCGAAACGCACTCCCTCGCCCCCGGATTTCAATGTTGATGGGGAATCGATGGGCCCATCGCGTTTGCTTCGCAGCACTCCGCACTCCCTTCCGGCGCAGTATTTAGCCAAACTTTAGGATTAGTTAGGGGTTGTTGGGGGCGCCGTTTCGGTGCTTTCAGGCTCTGATTAAAGGGAACAAACATGAAATAAATATGAAAAATTGGAGATCCGCGCGGATTTCTCGGATAGGCGCTGGACCCCCTCGCCAGCCTGGCCCGCGGAGCGCGCCAGGGGGCCCCAAGGGAACCTAGTACTTCTGGGGAACAACGTTGCGAAAAAACCACAACGTCAGCTGTCTGAGGCGGAAGACTCTTTTGCGCCCTAGTCGTCCAGCAACACCGCTGCGACGCCGGCGCCCGCCCCCGCAGCTGCGCTGGGCGCGGGGCTCTTGGCCTGCTGCCGCCTCACGGAGCCGCCGTCGCCGTCGACCTCATCACCGTCCTCTCGTGATTTTCGTTGGCCTGGAATCCTTCCTGGAGGACAGGGGCACTGGGGCTCGAACATTGGTGACGAAACGGGCAGCACGGTGGTGGGTGAGCAGCTGGATGGCTGTGTCAAATCGTCGACACTCTCGAAGTTGTCGAACGTGTCGAGCCGATCTACTGAATCTCAGCCGAACTCTCATCCCCCATGATCCTACTTTCGGTGCTGCTTTCGTCTAAGTTCTGGACTACGGTCCCAAGCATCCAACGGTCCGAAAAAGTCAATCGAGCGCTTGCTCGCCGCCGGTGAATAACGCCTCGACGATGAAGAACGGACCCTGAGGAAAGTGTCGCGACTTCTGGGGACCTCGCACCGACAAAAAATTGCTTGGGCGAAGGACCCAACCATATGCGGGTGCGAGTGCCACAAGGCAGGTGGGACGAAGGAGGGGCAGGTCCCTGTGGGGCCACGGAACTTGAGGAGTGTGCGGACCCTGCCGCTGAGGTCGTCTGCGGAGCCCCCTGTCGGGCCACGGAACGTGAGGAGTGTGCCCACATGGGTGCGGGCCCGCCATTCGGACCCTGCCGCTGAGGTCTTCGGTAGAGCCCCCTGTGCGGCCACGAGACGTGTGAGAGGTGTGCCGGAAGCCGCTGAGGCCTTCGGTGAAGCCCCACGAAACGTCTGAGTGTGCCGAAATATATCTAGATGCGGGGCCGCAATGCGGACCTTGCCGATGGGGCCACGAAACGCGTGAGTGGCGTGCCGAAGTGGGCGCGGGGCCGCCATGCGGACCCTGCCACTGCCGCTGGGGCCTCCGATGGAGCTCCCTGTCGGGTGGCGAAACGTGTGAGAGGCGTGCCGACCTGGGCTCGGCGCAGCCATGCGGACCCTGCCGCCGGGGCCTGTTGGGTGGAGCTCCACATCGGGCCGCGAAACGTGTAAGAGGCGTATCGGGATGGGCACGGGGCCGCCGTGCAGGCCGTGCCGCTGGGGCCTTCGGTGGAACCCCCTACGCGGCGGACCCTGCCGCTGGGACCTTTGGTGAAGCTCCCTGTGGGACCACGAAGGCGTGTGAGGGGTGTGCCGAAGTGGGCGCGGAGCCGCCATGCGGACCTTGCCACTGACTGGGAACTTCGGCGGGGCTGGCTAACGATGGGGCCACGAAACGT